ATGCACAGATTAAATCAACAATCACTTTAGAGATTTTGCGAAGCGGCAACACTGGTTCTAGGACAATTTCGACCAAAGGCTTTTCTAACGTTAGTTATTTGTTGTATCGCGTGTTTCGTGAATGTTTTCATGTTTTAAATGTTCTGAAAGGCGAAAGGCGGAGACGTAAACAAATCGATAAATATCTTGACAATTTATTATATTATGATATAATAATAAAATAAAACAAAATATTTTCTTAGAAGACAAAAACATCCGGAAATCAATAGGAAGATAGAGGCGGATGTTTATCTTAATATTATTTTCACTGTCTTATATCAATATTTATCATATTCAATATTGTAATATTGAAATGATAAGTCGGAAGCTATTATTTCAAATGAAAATAAAAACAAAAGCAAGATTAAATTAACTTATAATAGTTTTTAATTATGCCCATAAATTGTGAATTTTAGAGTGAATGAAACCTTTTTTACTAATTAAAAAACAACTGATAAAAAATTTAGTTTAGTCAGTCGTTCATTCAATTGTCTGGCGACTGACAAATTGTTACCAAACTGAATTGTTAAAATATAAAGCGGCATGCACCGACATTAGACATCGAAAACATTTATATGTATGTCTTTCATGATGAATGTATACACTAAACTAAGAAAAAAATATTTATAATTATTAATTGAAGCGAGGCTCGCATATCTATTCTCTTATCCCGGTGATACATTTTAATGCTGAATTCATTACGATGTTTCATTCTAAAGTATACACTTATTGCTTTTTTAATGAACTGAAAATTATATCACAATATTTTTAACAACGCGCCTTATATTTTATAAAGAAAATTCATGCAACAAATACAAAACTTACATCTTATGAATCCTACAAAAAATTTCCAAGTCGGTATCAATATATTATGTTTTGGATAATGTATTTGTTCCTGTGAACGCAGCTTCACAGACCTACAGGAATGAAAGTTTTTATTTAAAATTCGAACCCTGAAATTGGGCGCGTATAAAATCCGCTCTTGCAACGTGTCGGATACGAGTCTTTTTGCCATTTTAAATTGACATTACTGAATGTCGCGATCGCGAACTGTCGCGAAGAATTTTTTTTAAAACATCTTGTACAACAAAGTATCATGAATTATTTAGATATTACAATTTCAATTTATTTCTTATATTTCAAAACTTTATGTCAACGCTCTGTTTTCTGACAAGATAAGATCATCATCGATCTCTTACAAATCACGCCCGACATTGTTCCTCTTTTACGAGATATTTTATTGTATTATGATGTATGATTTACGTTTACATACGCATGTGGAAATTTAGTGATTTTTCATCTATGTATAAACGTCATTCGACAAATTCGTCTTCGGAGCTTACAAGCAATAATTATTAATTAAAATTTTCGCTATACGACGAAGTGACAAAACAAATTAGCCTATAATTAAACAAAGCAATTAATAGATAAGGCATTCGATGATACTTTAATATATGTAGTTTAAATCGTTATCTTTTATCAGATTATTGAGTGACAAGACATTACAATAAATCACGGCTTCAACTTTGAAATGGTACAAACTTTAAAATGGAAGAATCAAATAATGCAATTACCCTCATCAACGCGCGGTCTTCAAAAATGCCGTAATTAGTGTAGCGACCTATAATAACGACAGCGATAACGTCCACAAACGCGCTAACAAAGTTATTGCCACGGCTAAATCTATAGAACATAAAACTTGGCCATAGACCTTTCGGATTGGCCAGTCAGTGGGCGAGGATCCTCGCTTTAGGTCGATGGAAGAGCAGCACCTTCCTCCGTAGATTGGCAGTCTCTTAAATGCATAATGTTGTTATTTTTTAACTTATTGAATTAATTGGCTATTTACAAAAAGCTTCAATATGAAACAGATTAATTTTAAAAACTAATTTAAATTATTACTTCCTTACTTATAAACAGATTGGACTTTAGTAAGATAATAATTTTTATCTTTGGTAATAAATCCGAAATACAATCATAGAATTACTGTTTCAATACAATACAATAGTAACGCTTATTTAGTTTAATAATAGAAAAAAAAACTGGTCGTATTTTTTATCGTTATGGCAATAATATTGCCTTAAGTATCTCGAAGGTTAATTGATGAGATAAATGTCTAGACGTTAACAATTGACCACAAATATACGTCAAAAGGTGTCTTATCTACTTCGTAAACTTGATAAAATGTATTATTTTCTCAACACATTGTGGTTACATCTATATACAAAGAATACTCGATCCAAATTAGTCTTCACTAATGATAAAATTATAAGAAGATTGAATTAGAACACTTCTGTAGAAATTTTGCAATCATTGCAAAACCTTGCATTTTTATATTTCAATGGCCTTATCAGTAGCCCACGTGCGAACAGGCACGTCGGCTGTACAGTGTTTGATAACATTCGTAAGTGGATAGCACACCTTTATTTCGACAGTGTACAATGATGTAATTCGGAGAAATAGAATCGTGTTTAAGGATGGAAATGTGAACTGAAGAGCAGGATTGGCCTTTTATTTAATTACGATTGTAGAATGTGAACTAGACGTTGTAGCGTGGTTTTTAAGTAGGAGTTAAAACTATAAAATATTCATTCAAATACCCTTCCAAGTATTTATATATTCTATGGTTTTAAGATTTATTAACTGTGTGAATATCTTTGTATGCGCTGACGTTTCTTGATAACAAACGAAAAATATAACGACCTATAATGACTTAACAGAATGCAACATTGCAGAAAAGATAAATTCGTCCGATGTAAAGAAATGTGAAAAAGAACGAAAATATTATATGCCAGTAAAAATAAATTTTTAAATTTTAGAATATGTAAATAAATAAAATACATTAAAAACTTAACTTTTAACAGTATTTATGAACATTTCTTGCATTTCAATACTCTTTCGATGAGCGAGGACCAGCTCTGGGGTCCTTGGTACTATCTACCAGGTGCCAACTTATAAAGCTTGTGTAATTAAATCATAACTTACCTAACGAATGAAAAGATATTGCCTTTATTTTGCTTACATAAATATATATTAAAAAATCACTTTCATTTGATCTACGCAGTGCCAAAGGGCAGAACAATCGGAATCGCTCTATATGAATACGAGATTTTCGAATGATTCAATTCCGAATAAGTAAAGGTACAAACCAACATGAAGGCAAATATCAAATATGTACCCACAAGTATGTATTTAACAAGGCTTCTCTTTATCCCTGACTTCGCAAACGAAAGTGTCTTTGTTAACATTTTTCTTAGGTCCTTAAAAGGTAAACCTTGTACTTTTACTTGCTCTTTGTATAATGCCTTCCTTTTTCAAAAGCACTTCCTCCATTAATCATACAAATAAAGCGCTTTGTAAATTATTATTGATTTGAATCAAGAATATATGTATACTTTAAAAACAGACAGCCATTATGCGTACGCTAATTTCATTAAATCTAAGTGCTTAAATGTTTCCAGCTCCAGCTCCTGTTGCACCTATCAAGGTTATGTACAACTAACTATCCTTGATCCTCGGAAAATGTTAACTTTTTAACCCGTTTTAACGCATACAATAGTGTGCAAACATAATTGTATACTGCATAAAAAAGTAATTTTTTTATCGTTCATTAGTAGATATAAGGATGAATAATATTTTTATTATTTATTTAAAAATAAACATTACTTTAGACGTCGTTTAAAAAAAAACATGGTGCGAGTACTTATGTACGCGCGTAAGAAGTTATATACTTCTTTGCCTTTCTTTATTTTTTTTAAATATAATTAATTAATATTTAACGTAAACAATTTAATAATATTTAATATTTAGTATATTATTCAATTATTAATTAATATTAATAACAATTATTATTATTTATTATTTTATTATATTATTCATTCAATTTAATAACTTGGTATGTTTCATAACCTTTTAACTAAGTAACAATAGGTCTTTGTGAAAAAACATTGCTAAATTTCTTTGAAAAAATAATTAAAACTCCTTTATTTGTTTAAAAGGTAAATGTCATTGTGGTCATTCAAAATTCTTGGCATAGCTGCTAACTTCACGCATATTCTATTTCTTTTTACTTGTAGATTGTCTTATTCCCATCTCGCTCGCGCACTCTATAATCACACTGACAACTTTGTGTCTCAGGTGCGCGCGCATCGTAAAATTTCACTCTCATCAATTTTTCATAACGCGCCTAAAGAAGTATAACTTCAAAAACAAAGAAACACTTTCTCTTAGATGACATTATGTGTCGTACCGCTTAGCAACACTTACGTAATCATTCACGCACAAACATCTGATCGTCGTCTGCGATATTCAGGTGTTCTTCAGGATAAGAGACATAGATAAACAAAAAATATATAATTATATTAGCCTGTTGGCAACACGAAATAGGTAAGAGTAATATGCACTGCAAGCGTGCGGTAAGTATAAACGTGCCACGTGATTAAACAATTCTTAATAGATTCTGTGTATACGTGTATAATGAGTCAAAGCAACGATAGTTTTTCTAGTAACAATTCATTGTTTAATTTAATTCTCATCGAAATATGTATCGATTATATTCTTTACGCGGTCTAGGAGTATTTAAGAGTAGCAATCAGAGCCATAAATCAATTGGTTACTCGCTTGCAACACGAGTAATATTCACAATTACTGAACAATTGGACACTTGTTAACTGTCAGTTAGGCTACATACTAGGATAATGCCATGTATTCATCGCTGTTACTATTTTACATGTATGAAAATAGCATATTAAAGCTTTATTATATTCAGATTATAAAGAATTTTTATTCATTATATTCCCGAAAGATATACCGAGATGTGTACTTCCAAATACTTTTCTGTACATAGGTATTATGCTGTCAATAATTATGAATCAGTGAAACCATGGATTCCTAAATAACAGTCACAAAACGCATTGATGGTATAATATGGTTGTATTCAAAATATCTTCTTTATGCCTATAATGAAAAAATATCAATCAAACGACGCAGATACTATATTTAGCTCTATTGAGTTACGGTACTTCCAACATATACGTATTCTATGGCAATAATGACGTAGTTATAAGCTGTGCACTCTGTACACATTAAACAAGATCTTATATTTGTATATTACAATGTACGATAATGATCTCATATAGGTCAATGATTTCAAACGTCACGCGTTTTGGCAATGATTTTAGCTAATTATAAACATATTTACATGGCAATCTCAAAATATCTGTATACTAATAAGAGTGAAAGTGAGGTCTTATACTCTTAAAATCTAAATAAATCTTTATTTATTTAAATCATTGTAGTATCTTCTACTTTATAGATCTCCTAGAAAGATGAAGTTACGTTTCCAATCCTTACAAATTATAAATGAAGTCCCCAAAAACTACCAAACTGATATTTTTATCTACGGTTTTAACCAATATATAGTGTGACTTTCTGAGTTAGGGTAAGGTTTATAGTTCATAATGGTTATAGTTGATTATAGTTGAAGAGGTCGCAAACAATCTTAAACACACAAAATGAGAGAAGCTGCGGGCAGAAGCAACATATATTTCTAGATAAAAACAAATAAACCATTTTTTTTCCTCCTTTCATCCTTCAAATTCCCCCTTCCCAAAAAACATTTTTTTCTACCCCCCCCCCCCCCCTTATGATTTCTCAACCCCCCCCCCCCCCCTATATCACGTACACATAGTTATTTGTTTTCATGCTGAGTTCTGAAGAACTGGCCCCCAGTTTTGGCGTTTTTTTTTAACCCATTAAACTCCCCCCCCCGCCCCCCCCCCCCGGCCCCCCCCCCCCTTTTTTTTTTTGGCCCCCCCCCCCCCAAATGATCATTCAAATTATTCCGTTATCAAAACATTAGTTTCTGTAATTGTAAGCCCCCACATCAAGCAAAACCAGAGAATAATCAGAGTTCTTTTCCCCCTTTCCCCCTACACCTTTTTCCGAATTCAATCACATCCAATAAATCCTATTTTTTATTTACAGCATTGCAACAAAGACATCGCAGCCGTTCCATGTTGCGCTGGCTATCTTCGTAGTTGGCGTGTGGTTAAGTCGTCCTGGAACCAGCAGCAACTTGCGAGGTTGGAAGGCTCTCTATGTTGGCGCTGTGGCCATACATTTAGGTGCCCAAATCTGGATGACTTTAGTCTCTGGTAAGTAACAGTAGACTTTTAATTATTCAAAAGTGGACTCCAGTTAGCTAAAGAAATATTGGATCTCTTTAGGTGATCTCTTGCGGCGAATACGTCAGTATTGTATCATGTGCCTCTAACCTTACCTACTCGTAATAGATTCACTCAAAAACCAGTGGCGCTACAAAGTTTTAGATCTGGGTCAGATTTGTGTATCGGTTTCGTCATTTGTTTTGTCTAATATGCAAGTAGGGGATCACCGTTCTGTGTCAGACACACGAAGTCAACTTTTTGGGTTGTCAAGTTCTCCTCACGACATTTTTCTTTACCATACGAGAGAGTGTGTTAAACTTACTTTCAGGGATGAGTGTCAAACGCTGAAGCTACTAGTAGCTAGTAAATAGTTCACTGTAAATCTAATATATAAAATTCGGTGCGGTGTTTGTAGTTAAACTCCTCCGAAACGGCTTGACCGATTGTCATGTAATTTTGTGTGCATATTGGGTATGTCTGAGAATCAGACAACATCTATTTTTCATCCCCCTAAATGTTAAGGGTAGTCCACCCCTAAATATTTTTTTTATTTTTAGATTATTTTTATTTTTTTATGACAACCCCTATTTTTATTATAAATGATAAACATGGCAAAACGACGTTTACCAGGTCAGCTAGTTATCTATATGATTAGAGATTATATATACCTAATATATTTGCAAAACACAAAGAACATAGGCCATAGCAAATCCTAATACAAGTAAACAATAACACAGTAAACACTGATAAGATGACGAGGTTGATAAAAAATCAACTAGTTTTTAAAAAATAATTGATTTGCTCAAGATCGTATATTGAACTAAAATGTCTAATACTCTAGATATCAGAGGAAAATAATGAATTTATATTTCCTTGATTAACACCACCAACACCCCAATTGACCGAGTCCATGCTAAGCTGGTGAAGCTTGTATTTGGGTACTAACTTGATTAACTGTTTAATACGATTAGTTCCTTGATTGACGATTATATTTGTATGCCTTACCGAGTTTTCTACGTAAAAAAGCGAAAGAATCTTTATCGTTGTTAAGCGTCCAAGTTAAATTTAACACAATTTCTTATAGTTACAAAAGTAGTACTCATACAGTGACAAATCTCAGTAGAATATATGTACTATGTACAGCAGCCTACACGCAGCCTAAAGGTAGTTTCACTGTCAGGTTATTGACAGCAAAAGGACAATCTTTTTTTACTGGGAATTGTGTGCGGGCTCTTCCCAGAATCTGATTGAAGTTTAAAATTACAGAACGCTACACCGCAATACAGTTGAACAGTTCTTTGAGACATTAAAACCCATAGCAAAATAATGCTTTTAAGCGTTAAGAATAATAAATTAGTAAAATGGGTTGAGATTTTTATGAATTAGCAAACATTCTTACATTTCATATATACTATGGTTTCAAAATATACTTTACTTTATAGTTTATGGACAGCAAAAGGTTTTCTATTAATTTTATAAAAATGACTTAATTGTATTCTTGTTTTATAATAATCTTAGTAGAAATTTGGCCATGTATAATCTGTAAATAAAGTTTTGTACAATTAAATTCGTCTGACCATATATGGGGGTATACCTTTGAGTTACGCAAGGTATTTAAGAATTGCAAATCTGTCATCAGTTTCGTATGTTACATAACTAATTAGCGATGTTTCACTCAATTATTCGCAATTAGGTACTCGTACTTCGAATTATGAAGCTTAAAAATGTGCATGAGGTCACCAAGCCTTCATGAAGGCTTCATCAAACCTTCTAAAGAATATATTAATTATTATAAATGGCGTCCGATGGAAGATAGACATATTTTGCGCCTGTTTCATAGATCATAATGGCGACGTTAGGGTTGAGAATCAAAGCTGTTTATTTAGATTTAAAACACAACCCAGAGCCTATAAAACAATCACAAGTCTAAGGAATTTTGGACTTAAAATAATGGAGTCTTGAAGTTTAGTATAGAAACCTGTCGTTTTCAAATTTATGTATATGCGAGATAAATGACGACAAGAAAGAATCTCAGAACATTCCTGACAAAAGGAAATAAGCTCCTAAATACAATATATACGATATTATTTTGACTTTAATGTTACTGTCGTATCATTTCAGTTACGCCTATGATACGATTATTACCTTTAAGTATCTATAACAAGTCTGTGGTACATTAAACATATAGGCCATAGGAAGTAGTTTTCGAATTTTGGGGAGGATAGATTTTGTACATAACTGGAAAGTGCTCGGAAATTCGGATTCGGAATAAAAGTTCGAATAAATTAAAATGCTTTTTCATATATATTTATAAACTTTGTCATGTCTCATGCGAACTTGATACGTTTAATACAATGTAGTCATACAGAATAATATTTACAGTTGAAACAAATACGCAAATATCTTTAACCGCAGAGTTAATATTATCATTATTATTATGTTAGCACTTTAGCCTTGTACCAATAGACAATTTATTCTTAGGAAGTAGGAAGTAGGGTGTTTGCGACTATTAGATGATATCTCGAAGTACCTAATGGTAATCAAAGTTCAATTTTATTTTACTAGATAAATAAAATAACTATAACATTCATTGTACGCACCAATCTTATTAAGAATACAATGGTCCACAATTACGCGACGTTCGCTGACGAAAATTTTATTTATCCTTCGAAATTAAATTTCAGTATTAGAAGAGTTTTACATTTTGCTGGCTTTTTATTATGCCATATTTTTTAAATCCTTTTTGCGGTCATAGCTTGAATAGCGGCACACAGTGCACACAATTCGATGTTTTTAAAATTTTATTATTTGATCAGATTATGTGCGACTTTAAAATTGGTTTGTTGGACCAATTTCATGCATTAATATTGTAGTTGTTTATAAATTATATAAAAAATTTAGCAAAGCAATATTATTCATTACACTATCACAGTTTTATTACAGATTTAGTTTCTGTTCTATGTTATTAATTTTAAATATTGTCATTGATAGTCCAGTTGACTATATACTCTAATAGATAAAAGTTATCAATAGAATTTTCCACTCAAATAATATTGAAGTGTTTATGCAAAGTTGACGCATTTCTCTACGCACATAGATAATGAGATGGAAAATACATTTGATATTCATGTTTAAGAATGAACGGAAATATAAATGTTTTGTTTTACTGCTCGCTTAATAATATTGACACTAGCAACCTTATTTAAACATAAATAAAATAATAAGGTTTAGAATTGTACTAAAAAGTGGACTCGCCACAGAAACTTAATCTGCGTTTACTGCGTGCGATCTCTGTTGCTCCGACGTTCAGAGCGATTGTGCGCTTTGAAGTGTAGGATTTTTCTTCTTATCCACGCAAATAGCATTCCCTCGTGTGGTGGAGCAATATTAGCGTGAAAATCTTTTAAAATATATACATGTCCTGGGCCGTATATCATTTCATGACAATGTTCCCCCTGTTGTTCAATCGTTCAGACTACGACTAGCGCTGACGTTATAATGGTTGTTGCGTGAAAATAAATAAATTTATTTTACAGGAATCGTGCTCTACTTCTCTCTCCCACGTCATGAGTTTGGACGGGTTCAGACAATTCTCTTCCCAATCTACTACGCGTTCAACGCAGCGGTCAGTCTTTTGGCGATACTTGCGTACTTCCGAACGCAATGTCTCACACAGTTCGTCAACACATCCTGGTTACAGGTAAGAATCTTTAAATTAACCACAAAATGTTATTATTTTATGTTTATATTATTATTTACGCGACTTACCTATAAATTTATATCGAACACTTTTGTCATCTCGCGCGCATACAAATCGGGATTTTTTATGAGATTTGAAGAAAACTTTTCTTTGACAAATGAATAAGTGTAAATGGTAGTACACAGACAAAATATCGGTTTTGTGAATTATCAATAAATTATTAGTTTATTTAGTCCCGCTTAATGATAATTTTTATCAGAAAAATACTCAAATCATTTAATAAAACACTATTTTGACCGGATTGAAGTTATGTATTATTATAAATTCATTGTCACCGTGACCACGCACGCTGTAAAGCACGCGAAACGTCGGATAAATTTAAAATTATGTTAAATAGTTGTAAATTAATAATAATACATAACTTCAATCCGGTCAAAATAGTGTTTTATTAAATGAATAAAAGTTATATTAATCAAAGACAATACTATACTCAAATCATAATTCCCAATATAGGGGCTATTGGCGGATTTGAAATATAACAATGAACTTACAACATTCTTGATTTGTTATAAAACTACTTAATATTTTAATACAACATAACATGATTTTCAAAAGCTTTTAAATATTTCACACTTATTTTTTGCAAGTTGCAAAAACCTCGGCGCCGCTTACCTTGTACTTTAATTGACCTTATTGTGATTACCAACAGATTAATGTAATTTTGATTGGATTAACTAAATTATAGTGTATATTGTACGTTACGGATATACTAATTGACGGAATTATTTAGAAACGGATGACCTAAGATCTTGTATGTATTTTAATACTAGAACTGTCACCTCCGTACATGTCTATAAATAGTCTTGAATTATCTGCAGGACTTACCTCTCCCTGACTACGGTAATATTGCCTTTATTAGGTACAACAGCAAGATATTACTTTTGGATGTTGCAACTAATAATGAGTAGTTGATAGATACCTAGATTATGTATTTTTTAAAATCGCGGCGAACACCATAAACATATTATATTTTGTAGGTTTTTAAACAAAATTTCCAATTTGTATCAAATATAAAAAATGTCGTCATTAAATTTAAAACTGACAAACTTCATACAAAATTTAAGTTTTACATTAAAACTAGATCTAAGTAGAATATTCTAAAATCATAACTAGGCCTTCCTTTTAGAAATAAGTTACTTGTGTAACAATTACAAATTAAACTAATCTCTATATAAGGTCACTTGAAGGTTATTTATGCTAATTATCCAATATTTTTTGTGAACTTTAATTTATTTCACACTACATCTCAATCGCACATGATTAATGATTATCTTTCAAAAGTTTTTTGCAATTTTAGAAATTATATTGATGAATCTGTCAGGGTCTATTTGTACTATGGAACAATTACCTACTTAATACATTTAAAATGTAATTATTGAAGGTAACAAACAAATGAAATGATAATTATTTACGTATTGTTATTAGATTATTATTTATAAGATAAGGGCCGAATTAATAATATCCCACAAACACCATTGTAACATTGCTTTACATATGTATTAACTCGACATTAATACGTCTTGAGCGTAACCAGACCTACTGTAAGAGTTTCGTATACCTTGTTAAATTGGTAGAAAGTTTTTCAGCTTATCACGCCGAAATATTTTTTTTCAAAATCAAATCTATGACCCTATATTGTTGAAGCAAAGATACCTACTCTACTCGAGTTGCTGTTGCTAGCATTATTACAGGATTGTATGTGTCGGATTGAGAGTAATATGAAAAAGTTTTACATCATTATTCATATTCGTTTTAATAAATAAATAACGATAAAATAGGTTTGAGCGAATAATTCACCGTGAAACTGTTGTTACATATACATCATACTTTAACTTTGAACTTTATTTGTTCTTTTGGTTTCTATTAAACTGATGTATCTGTTTGTTGGATTCTAAATAAATAAATAGTACCAAAAAGTATTGGATCTCGACTCCGAGTCTATTAAATGGTTTAAATCTTTTTTTTTTTCAAATTTCTTTCACTTGTTTCAGCTAGCGTTACTGTTAGTTGTATTCAGTATAGAAGCCTACGTGCGATTCCGTCTCGTCGCACCAATGCTACGTGCCAAACACGTCAAGACTCAGATGGAAGAAGCTGCTGGCGGTGGACAGGAGGTAATTATATTTTTAGTTACGAATTCATACTAGTTAGAGAATTGGTTATATAGAATCTTTAAAAGTACGTAGTAGTACGACAGTACGTAAATATTACGGCAAAAACGTCTAATGCATGCAAACTCGTAGCAATTATTTGTATGTAAGACACGTGTAAATATAACTCAACAGTAACATCTTTTAGTAATCATATTCATCCAAAATTTCGGCCTATGATAACTAATCGATTTTTTAAACTACGAGGAGGCGAAAATGGGTATAAACTGTAACTTAAAAACAATATATAGAAATAGAAATTATTAAGTATATTTATGTACCTACTCATTAGTTACACCTTTTTTTAAATATATATTATGGCAATAGTTTTAACTTTATGCCAGTTTCAAGTAGTTACACCTTTACTTGAAACATTTTTATTTATTATAGTAACCCTTTATAGAAATCAACTGATCATCAGGTTTTACTAAACGTATACTGGTGTTTTTATAAAAAATATGCCTTTATTATCTTAGGGTACAGCCAAAACTTATTTTAATAAAAAAATCATGTTAAATGGTTTCTTAATTTCAGATTGGCCGTCTTCTCCTTGGCGAGCTGGCCCACTGTCCACGCTACGTCCGAATTCTGAAGACTTTCAGAGCCTATCACTCCACCATCGCTATGGGTACCATGATTACTTTGGGTTGCTCCTTCTACTCAACAATGATCATCGTTGACTCCATGTGTCATTAAGTTATTTCAAAGCTATTGAGTGACTGTTCATCGATATTAGAGTAACCCACGGACTTAAAACCGTCGGTTAAGGGAACTTCGATATAAGACGGATTTAAGTCAAATATTTACCTCCTTTTTTCATAAAATAGTCTAATTATACTGTTTTAAGTACTCTGTTTCCCTTTGCTGACAAATATTATTGTCGCTGTGGTAAACTGAATTATTTTTTTATGAATATGGGGGTAAAATTTTATAGTTACATTGGAAAATAGGAAAATAAGTACCTAAACTGGCAATTATGTAATAAAATGTTTATATAGCTGATTGGCAAAATAAATTATAAAAAGGAATGTCAAACGTGACAGTGCCACTTTGACGTTTCAGGTTCCTTTCATATCTCTACTAATATACATATAATTGTCTATGCAGCTCTACTCAAATTCGTATAATTATTTGATTTTAAACGATTGTCTTTTTTTTCTTCTTTCCTTAAATCCAATCTTAAAATTATTAAGACGAAGCAAGGGATGTCTTTAAGAACGTTTAAAATGCATTAAGCAACCTACTAGATCCAGGCTGTGAAGTCTGTCACTCTTAGTAATTATTAAAAAAAAGGCTTTTAGGAAATTGAGAGAATTTTGATGTATTAATAAATAAAAGCGTATTCTTGAATATGTTTGATACTGTTTATATTTATTTGATAATGCAAATCATATGTAAATTAAGCCACATTTTTATAATTCAGAACTTGCATATCAACAGTGAGGGTAGAAATTCAAAGCCTAATCGAATATTACTAAAGCGCTGGTCGCAAATTAGTATGCTTAAATTAATTTAGAAAAATATTAAACAACTTGTAATGCATTCTCATTACACGGTAAAATTAGTTTTATTTAAAATAAGTTCTCGGCACCTGAATTCTTGCCAATAAGTTATGTTATTTAAACATCGTTGCGACAGCCGAAGCTGCTTGATAAAATATTAATACACTGCCAGAGAATGAAAAAATATAAAGTACTATGTTAAATAGACACCTAATTTATGAAGTTATGGATTCAGAATTAATAGATAAAAAATCTAGTCAGCAATATTTATATTCTTATGTGATTGAGAAATTACAGTATTATTGTTATTGCTTTTAATTTAATATAGTTCAATGTTGTAACATACATACTGTCAAAGAAATATTTAATCTGTTAAACATTTTGATTTCCATTTTCAAGCCTTTATCTCACACTAATGAAGGTCAAGCAGCTTATAATGCTTAAGCTGTGGCAGTTTTTTGTATTTTTCCACATTATAATGAAATACATGCAATGTGTGTAAAATGTAACGTAGAATTATTTAATTGTAATATCGATGATCTGAATGTTAAACTAAGTTTATGTTATTTATTCGAGAGAATGATGGAAGAGACGTGGAATAAATAATTATAGTGACAATGCGTTTTTAATTATTCCCATTATACTAATAATAAGCTTACTATTTACAAAATGGAAGCATTGGAAATAAAAACTATTTTTTTCCCATTTACGATTCCAGGATGTGTTGACTGACACGACGTTAACCGATAATATTTCAGTCCATAAGATACGATTGTCTCCTATAATAATTAATTAACCATAAAAAAAGAGATAATTTAAAAATATAAATGAAACACTATCAGTCCATTGCTTCATATATAAAGAGTAGAACGCATGATACCTAAGGAATAGTTTTACGTAATTTTTTTCATGGTTTACTATTTTATGGGGTATATAATGAAGCAAAAAGCTAAAAGCTTGCAAGTTTCATACAATTATTAACAGAAGAAGCTTTCTCAGAGGATTGGCGAAAATGATGTGAACATCTAAAGAAAATTGAAAACGATTTCATCAAGCAAGATATATATATATAATAATTGAAATGCTGGAAGAGCGATTTATAATAATCACCTCTTTATCTTAATCAGGAGTTCTTGGAATCGTTGTCTAGTTCTGAATGAGGTGTTAAGTTATTTGTATGATTAAAATGATATATATAACTGAGTCCATGACTGGGACATTAAGGAAATTCACATTCATTTTTAAAATTTTGCGACTCATTACATGGTATGTAATTCTTACAAGAATTTACATAGCACTAAAATAAAAAATTAAATAAAATATGTTTATTATGGAACATAAGATACATGTATCACTTATAGACCACAAGCCCATGAACAAAAAATACCTGTGAAATGACCCAACGTGAATTACGCTTAGAAGGCTGTTACTATATCTGAAAATAGCTCTGAGCACTATGCCGTCATTTCTGAGCGGTACATGTGAGTACGTGAGTGAATGGACTTTCTCAGGTACAATTGGGGAATTTCGACTAATTATTAATGTACGGCTTTGTTATAAGTGTATAGATGATTAAAAATAAATGTCGAAAAACTTAGTGCCGTACTAAAGTGATGGTACCGGAAGTCGGTGCAAATTTTTAATTCGACGATAGTTGCAGGAGCAATATAGGTCATTTATTACTGTACGGCATTTGCGTAATTCCTTTTGGACACATATACAGATACTTTACCCGTGAACGCCGTACATATTTCCAGCGGAGCGGTCGAAAGCCAAGGGTCGGAACCCTACCCCTACACCCATATACCCTAAGGTCATTGTAAAATGTACGGCAACATGTTCAAAATATTATTTAACACGGACAATAATGTTTTATAATTATGCCGTCCAAAACTTATAGTTAATATTTGTGTAAATAAATATTTATCGAAATTTCAGGATTTACCTACCAAGTTCTTACTGCTGTAAGATCAGAGAATAATGTACGGCAACTTGTTTTTTTACATAATGTTACTAAATATTACCGTTGTACCTTATAGCCGTTCATTGTAAATGGTAACAAATAAAAATATTATGATAAAAAAATATATGAAATTTCCGAAATTTAGATGACTTTTCAAATGCTCCTAGAGTAATATGGGGAGTAATATTTTCAAAGATTATTGTTATTTTATATGTAACAAATATAAATAAACAAAAAAAACCAGATGCCGTACATTTTACTCCAGATTATTCTTTACAGCTGATAAAAACTTCGACGACGTTTGAGGTGTCCCTTAAGGTCATTAATAACTGTACGTATCTGAGTATACTACCATAAGGCTGTAAAGTATATTTACAGCCTTATCGTACCAGCAGAGAGAGGTAAAGGAAATATATTTTTAACAAAAATAAAAATATAATACAGGGCGTCCCAAATTTATGGGACATGAAGGGGAAGTACCTTAAATATCGTAGATAGGGCATTTTACTAAAAGAAGACTTTATGTTATTTTTTAAAGTTAGTAATTCTGCATTCAAAGATTTTTTAAAATTACTTGCCTCGTCTGGAAATCGAACCGGCTTAAATAAAAAAACACCCCTACTTTTATGATGCCAATCGAAAGAATGGCTAAAACCTAATAACTTTTCTAAAGTAACAGACTCGTAGGGAATTTTTTTAGGCCAAATACGATAGATAATGTTTTTAATTTGATTAAAAAGATATATTCACGCTGTTCCTTTCTTTTAAAATACTATGTTACTTAAGAAGAGTTATAAGTTTTCGGTCATTCTTTCGATTGGCATCATAAAAGTAGGGGTGTTTTTTTTTACATTTAAGTCGGTTCGATTTCCAGACGAGGCAAGTAATTTTTTTTTAAATCTTTGGATGCAGAATTACTAACTTTTAAAAATAACATAAAGTCTTATTTTAGTAAAATACCCTATCTACGATATTTAAGGTACTTTCCCTTCATTTCCCATAACTTTGGGACGCCCTGTATTGGTAGGCGGTGGTAGCGGACTATCGAAAGTGTACGGCATTTATCTTTTATTGAAGATTGTCTAAAGTATTAATAACCTGTGTTATTGCCGTACAGATAAAAGTCACCGGAAAATGACTCTTTTCTGAGGAAAGTAATTTACTTCATACACCTACGTGTTCCACAAAAAAATGTACGGCATGCTGGAAAATGTTACCTATTTGTGAAGTACTCTCAAGATCATTTAATTTTATGTTGTTCTATATCATCATCACCTATATGCTAATCAGACATATGTTGCGACTCTTGGCTTTGACCGCTCCGCTGGAAATATGTACGGCGTTTACGGGTAAAGTATCTGTATATGTGTCCAAAAGTGTGTTATAACATGATTCCTAGTGAAATATTGGAACTGCCTTTAAACAGATTCAAAACACATGTCAAAAAAACCTTAATGTGTAAAGGTTACTACACAGTCAATGACTACCTGGAAGATAAAAACGCTTGGCAATAGTTCTAATTATATTCTTATAATTTGATTGGTTATCTTTGAAGTGTTATGAATATGTGTGTAATGGTGAATGTGGTAAATCACAGAACAGATTTTTATTTTTTTTACTTATGTAACTTTAATAACGTTGTGGTTTATGACATTTTCCTTTGAATAATTGTAATGTAAAGGGAGGGCAAAACTTGCTGAGTTTCTTGCCCGTTCTTCTCAGAACAAGGCCTCCTGGTAGTTTTGCGAACGGATGGCGTAGTCTTGCTCTTTCGTGAATTTTGTAAAAGTTGTTGACATTCATAAGCATGCTCTAAAAAGCATCTAAATTGAATAAACGTATTTTGAGATTTGATTTGATTTGATTTGATTTGAAAGGAATTACACAAATGCCGTACAGTAATAAATGACCTATATTGCTTCTGCAACTGTCGTCGAATTAAAAATTTGCACCGACTTCCGGCACCATCACTTTAGTACGGCACTAGGTTTTTCGACATTTATTTTTAATCATCTATACACTTATAACAAAGCCGTACATTAATAGTTAGTCGAAATTCCCCAATTGTATCCGAGAAAGTCCATTCACTCACGTACTCACATGTACGGCTCAGAAATGACGGCATAGTGCTCAGAGCTATTTTCAGATATAGTAACAGCCTTCTAAGCGTAATTCACGTTGGGTCATTTCACAGGTATTTTTTGTTCATGGGCTTGTGGTCTATTATTTCACGTCATTAAATTTGAATTTGTAGGCATCCCTACTCATCGGCAAAGAAGACAGAGGGTGTAGGCCGAGAGAAAAAGCCGGCGTAAAAAACTCTCGGTACTCTTTTAAGTTTACTCGTTTACGTTTTTTAGTTACTCTTTTAAAAACACTCGTTCAGTTCATATTGACATATTGCATAAACATATGGGGAGCGGCCATTGATATACAAAAAACCCAAGATGCACAATCAACGTCTAAAGGTGTGCTTACACGGGCAACTTAAATTGCTCAATTCCAGTCAATACTCGTCAACTATGACGTCACGACTACATCAAGCAATTTACGGCAACGGCAACAAGCATCAATACTGCGCAATACAATATTGAGCGATATGGCGCAACTTCATCAACTAGGCAATACTGTCCTACACGAGCATTTCAGTATTCTCTCGCTATGGACGACATTGTTGTTGCTGCGGCGGCTTGTAGCGCTTTTTTTATTATTAATCAAAAACAAAAAAGAAAGAAAAGGAATAAGCGTCTGGTGCGTCAAATCTGGGTGCGATCGTTTTTGGCAAAGAGGCCGCAATTTTCATTGTGAAAATAAAATTAAACAATTAAAGAAAAAATAATTAATTTTTTTAAATTAATAATAATTAAATTTTTAATTATTCTTTTAATTTTTCTTTAATTCTTTAATTTAATTGATTTTTTTTTCAAGAATTACGATCAATATATTATTCAAAAACTTTACTAGAATGTCACGAACAGACTTTGAAATTACTTTTGAATAAAGTCCTCAATTAGAAATTATTATTATTAGACCTCTGCCGCTCTCCCCGCGGAAGCGCACAAAGACGGTAAGCCGCAAAACAAACGAATGCGAATGAGATAATATATACAAAAATTGCTAGGGATATCGTATTTTCGGTAAGTAAAAAACTTTATTGATTAGTTTTTGTTGTTTTTATGACTGATTATAACAAGCAATGTGTGATTTTTATTTATTTTTTCTAAAAACTTCATTCAACGCACAAACTTCTATACGGCCAACTTCAAAGTCTGCTTGTTCAGTGTTAGAACAACGCATTACAGTAACGCATTATAAAATGACCCTGTTCTAATAAGTGGAGTCGATGTTATTTATTTGTGTTTTTTTTTATAAATAAATTTATGTACTTTTGAACTTTTTTTGTGTGTAGTTTTTGACAAATATATTTACGCTATATAAAGTATAGGTCAGGAGGTAGCCAATTTAATTTTTTTTTTAATTTAAAGAAAAAAGTTTTTAACCGAATTAAAGTTATGTATTATTATAAATTTACAACTATTTAACATCCAACACCTTTTGTCTTCAGTCACCGTGACCACGCACGCTGTAAAGCACGCGAAACGTGGGATAAATTTAAAATTATGTTAAATAGTTGTAAATAAAAAAGTCATGTTCGACTCCACTCAATACCTTGTCCTACCGACCACGGTCGGTCGTAAAATTTTATTGCTTTAAGTACACTGCGTTGTAATAACAACCTTAAACAATTCGCGTAAGGTTGATTTTGCAATAATATATGCTTGTAACTTATAGAAAGAAACAGAAATAGTGTTTCGGGACACTTTCGAGCGTTACTTTTATTCGAGACTGTGCATCTTGGGTTTTTTCTATATCAATGGGAGCGGCCAATAAAACAACATATTTGGAACTAGAGCGGGGACATAGGGCTCTTTTAAAGGTGATGCTATTCCGGCCATACAGATTCCCATCGGAAGAGCTTTATCATCTCAGCCAATTACTTTCCGTTAGGAGCTGTATGTCCTAATTTTAAAAACACACAGACCGCTCCCGTTTGATATTAGGCTGGTTTGATATTAGGGATGTTGTCGTCGGTGAGACCGTTAGGACTGACTTCGCCAGACGCAATATCCAGCAGACTCACCGTCTACAATCTAAAGGTACGACTAAAGGACTGGCTTATGAGCATACCTTACGCAGTGTTAGGGCCGATTTACATTATCTTAGTGTTTAGCAGAGTGCTTTGGGATAGTACTTTAGTTGAAACATGTAAACGCTACTTGCTTTAGTACGGTTCTACTTGACTTTCAAGTTGAATCAAAATAGAATCGCTTTTTATTTTTGTTTCAAGTGATAGAGATGCTTTTGAGACCTAGTATTTCCAGTAAAAATTGTTAAAATAATAAAGGTGTCATTGTCACCCAGCTGCTAGCGAGTACGCTAGTGTAAAGTGTCAGATAGTGTCAGTTTTCACTGTCAGATTAGCTTAATTCAAATTGTGCGAATTTTCAATCTTGCAAATTGCAATGGAATTACGTGTGTTTTTACGATTTGCTTATAAAATGAATTATTACTATAATAAACAATGAAATCAAAGCTATCAACATGTGTTGTTTCTAATGTTTTATCAATGACTATACGTTGCCTTAGCCACATTAGTCATGTTATTTATAGGTAGGCCTACGCAAAGTGAAACTATGAAGTACGATTGGAAAACACAAGGAGAGATGAAACTTCTATTGGATCGTTGTAGAACTGTAATTATATTTTCTAGTGTGGTGTGCACTTTTGCAGCTGTTATATCGCTACATAAAATTTTAAGCCACGATGTTAAATTTATTAAGCCTTTTTCTCCATTGCCAGCTGGCTTGTACGGTAACTACTTAGAACCTTTCGTTGGGGAGCCTCCACCTTCCACACCTAAAAGCTATGATAAAGCAAGGGATTCCGAAGCTGTCGGATCGTTGAACGCGGCACTAGAAATGAAAAAAAATGGCAAATCAGATAAGGCTTTAAAATTATTTCAACATGCATTTGCACTTTCACCAAAACACCCAGACATTCTCAATCACTATGGTGAGTTTTTAGAAGACATAAAGCAAGATGTGGTTAAAGCTGATCAATTGTATACTCTGGCATTAAGCAATTTTCCTGATCATAGAGGAGCATTATCAAACCGACAACGAACAGCAAGTATAGTTGAAAATCTAGATCGAGAAATGTTACGAAAGATTGATGAAAAACGAGATGCATTACTATCAATACCAGAAAATGATGCTGCTTTGCGCCGAGCAAAGAAAGAAGCTTATTTCCAACATATTTACCATACTGTAGGTATAGAAGGGAATACAATGACTTTGTCTCAAACAAGAAGTATTTTGGAAACAAGAATAGCAGTGGCTGGAAAAAGTATTGATGAACATAATGAGATCTTAGGATTGGATGCAGCAATGAAATATATAAATTCAACTTTGCTGTATCGTGTGCGAGATATAACTATGGGAGATATATTAGAGATACATAAAAGAGTATTAGGGCATGTGGACCCTATTGAAGGTGGTCATTTCAGAAGAACACAGGTATATGTTGGAGGACACATTCCTCCAGGACCATCTGAGATTCAAAAACTAATGACTCAGTTCTTAGAATGGCTTAATTCAGAAGATGCTATGGAACTGCATCCAGTGAGGTAAATACTGTTTATTTTTTATGTTCAATTAATATTATACAATTAAAGTACTATAAATGACTTCGATTTTCATTTCTATATTTATAAAAATAGAGCATTGGTAAGGCAAATGATGAGCTCTGCAAACATTTTCTGCAACTTAAAGTACAATTTATTATACCAATTATATTTCTTACCAACATTATTTTAATTTCAGATACGCAGCATTAGCTCACTACAAACTTGTACACATTCATCCATTTATAGATGGCAATGGACGGACATCCCGACTTCTTATGAATCTACTACTAATGCAAGCTGGTTACCCACCTGTGATCATTGCTAAGCAACACCGTCATATGTATTACCAGCATTTGCAGACAGCTAATGAAGGAGATGTTAGACCATTTGTTAGGTAATGTTAGATATTATATTAAAATGTTATATACTCCTCTAAAAATCCTTATATGGTGGATTTAATTTATTGCGGACCTCGGTTGTAGCGACTATTTAGCTATAACGACGTTAAATCTAAGTCCCTTGAATTTAAAGCATACTCAGGTGGCTATAGTGACTTTGCGTGTTACGCCGAGTTCAAGATATCAAAATTGAAAAACGGTGAGAACAATGCTGATTTGTGCAAAGAATACAAAGTTTCCCATTCCAACAATATCTACAATATGGAACAACCGTGATAGAATGCTTTGAATCCAAATCCTTAAAAATTAAGAAACACACACAGGCACAAAAAAATTAATTGAAAAAAACTAATATTACACAATTATTTAAATGTACCAGTGAATGTTTTCAATAATAAATAAATATAAACTATACACATGTACATGTCTTTATCTAGAGATAAAGACATGTACCATGTACAAGACAGACCTTTGCCTGTTAATTAAAGTGGTCCCATTATCGTTGTTATGTGAAATCCACTGTAATATGGAAAGCCAACAGTAAGAACATATTTTAAAAAGTGATTAACAGACTATTGTTTAAACTTTAAACCGTTGCTCTTTCAAATACTAAAACATGTTTTATTTGAAACTCAAACTGCGTTATCTGTCATTGTAGATACATATTTCTTTAAATACTCAATCTTTATTCCAGATTTATAGCACAATGCACAGAGCGGACACTGAATTTGTATTTGTGGGCGACAAGTGAATATAGCCACATGGTACCTGCTATTGGAGAACCGCATATTCTGACTGGTGAAGGTTTTGAAGATCTTTTATAACAATAGTAAATCCTTTGTCCTATACAGACATGTAAGGAAGTAGTCAGTAGTAACAAATGAGATGGGTTTTGAAATTATAATTAATTAGATCACAATGGTGCTATTCTGATGTACAACTCTAAAATAAATTAAAATGTCTAATGTAGCAGTTGATACACATATTTTCATTAACTACTTACATACATATTTTAAGCAACTAAATATAAATGAATATTTTATTAATAAATAATTATTAGACCCATATTCCAATAGGTATCTCTTCCACTTGAGCCCTGTCAAATGTCAAACTTCAAGTAAATAAAGTTATAGAGACCTTAGTTTAATCCAATACCAAGAATGCTGTTTTTGGCTATAATATTTAACTTTAACTTTAGAATTAGTATTAAAGAATGTACCAAAAAGACAATTCTTATATAATCTATTCCTCACCATTATTTCTAATATTGTATATTTCTTAAAATGCACAATTTCGTTTTGAGCAGTATACGTAACTTCAAAGAGAAAAATGGTTTTAGTGTTGAAAAATTTGGTCTAAGTTTTAGAGTAGACCAATGGAGCAAACATTTTTTTGCTCAGCAAGATGTGTTGATGTGTGAAAAATTTAGTTCTACTGTTAAATGGAAGAATTGTCACTCAAATTACTGACTTAATGTAAATTTCATGCCATGTATTTATATTTTAAGTAATATATTTATATTAGGAAAATTTTATGTTATTAAATTAGATTGATAGGTATCAACGCACAGTATTAAAATAGCTCATACGAGTTTCACATAAAAATACCTATTATTTTTTCCAATTTGTGTTAAAATTCCAGCCTTTTCCATAATGTACTACATAATATATAAATACGACCCTAAATATATTATTGTAAATATGTAAATATGATTATTTATTTTTAATTCCTGTGATATACTTTGTTTAGGCAATCGAATATTATTCAACTTGGAAATTTTAAACTCACATTTGAATTTATTTTAGTTCATGCGTGTCTTCCACGACATTTAGTTCCTTAATAGTATTGTATGGTTGAACACTATTCAGTACAAACTCTGTGTCTTAATAAATTATTCAAGCCGATTTTGTATTTTTTTTCTTTCTTATAATTAAAAATTCAAGCAGTAAAGAGTCGAGTAAGAAAAGGCAAGAGGATTTGCATGTGGAAAGCTTACTCGAGTTCTGCTAGTTGCTACTAGAGGTAATGTATTACCACTTTCCTTTCTATTTCAGATCGAACTTTGAATTTAGTGTCCGTGTTGCCAACTCTTGTCGACAATTAATACGGTGAATTTCGCACTTTTAAGCGTCAAAATTATTTAGGATTTTCGGTGCCATCAGAAGGATCGTAGATTGAGTTATTGACTAAAATGACTACTAAGCTACGTCTTTTTCGGTAGCTTTTGGTAAATTTTTCTTCGAGTTGGCAACACTGGTACGAAATCGCTAATTTTAGAAGTGATAGTAATAATATATAGTAATCATGATTAAAAGTGAAAACTTATAAAAAAGGTTCGATTATTACAGAAATAAGTACAAAAATTCAATTTCGATTAATTTATTATAATGTGCGATGTTAAAATATGTATTATAATAATAAAGCATGTCGCGCCGCACCTCGCATTCCACACATTGATTTTCATTTCTATACAAACAAAATTGATTAAGGCAAAACTTAGTTACTATCGAGCCATTATACTTGCAGAGAATAGAAGGTGTCTAAGAGATATATAAGTGCTATTGATATTGGAACTACATCGCAGGCAATACAAAGAATTTATAAGAGATAAAATTAAAAATTAGTGATTAATTAAAAATTTAATACATAAAAAACAAAACAAAACCTTTCTGGTAATAGAATACACAAATTTCAAAAGATTTTACAACCAACTTCGCGGCTAAATGTAAATGCCAGAAATCCTGGCTTCATTTTTCCCCGGTTAATCTTTCAGAAGCCACATTGACACTTTCTAGTAGGTAAAATAGTCAGTAAACAGACGCATAAATGTCTGAGACAGGAACTCACAATGAAAACAAAACAAACATTTATAATATTAAAATTTTAGCACGAAGCACTTCTATTTTCTGTCATTTTCTGCTTTTATAATGGCTCTTACAAACAAAGAGTTTTTCATAACCGGACTCTGATACAGAGTACCAAGCGCTATCTAACTTTATAAGCCATAGTATACATAGGACATCGCTAACTAAATAATCCGTTTAAATCACATACTTATACGTCAAATAAACGATATAAATATATGACTTTAACATTAGCATTAAGTTTTAAGCAATTTATAACATCAAAACATTCCTTAAGCACCGGGTATGAAACTATTAACTCAAAATCATAAATTAGGCCCGTAATTCAATTTGTACCGAAAGCCACATTTGTCACCATCAATGTCAAATATGACGTATCGAAATGGTTTGACGTCTCCCACTAGTTTTACATAGATGTTCTAGAATTCGGACCTTAGTCTTTCTTTTCAAATGTTTTACAATTTTTATTTTGCTATATAATTGCTAGTGTATAGAAATTTATTTCACCGGCTTTTTAGGTTTTTACTGTGTTTAGATTTTATATGATTAAAAAAATATTAATAAAATAAAAAAAATGTCTAATTAATAAAACATTACCTCGAAAAGCCATGTCACAGTTCCTAGACACAGCTATGAGTAATTAAATAGCCGATAACCCTCTAAACCTTTGATAATATGTAAATCTTCTCTTGGACTAAATAATGATCACAAATACTTTATAAGTACTGGAAACAGGAGAAATAACTAAGGAAAAACAATTTCAAATGGCAAAGGTAATTTTGTCATGAGTTTTTATTTGCGTCACATAAATAGCACAATTAATAAATAACATGCAATTCACAACATTATGAGTATAAGAGAACGCCCAATAAACATGCATACGTTGGAGATAACATTTCAAACAAAAGGTGTATTCGAATAGGAATATTTCCAGGTTAAAAAAAACATATTTAATGGACGATTTCAAAAAGGAATAACGAGGTCTCAAGCTTACAACCTTTCCATAAACATAATTAGGCCATTAGAGAAGTTAAATGCAACTTGTTAAGAACACACCGGCAAATTTACACAGTTTTAGGGAAATTTTAATGGCAATACACAGCAGGTTCTAAACACGTATCTAATGAACGAGTATTGAAATAGAAATATTTTAACGATTTTATAGAAACTTCAAGTGCCACATTAATAAAACTATTCAAATCATTTTAAAACATTTTTATTTCAATAAAAATCGTTAAGACTATAGTTGTCTATTAGTTACAAAATTCATCAAAAGTTTAACGCCCAAAGTTGTGACGCGGGCTTCGCTCGTGCTTAAAACACATCTTAAAATAAACAGTCTCTAATAATATATTAATAATACGACGGTATCTCGATTGACGTAATGGTTAGATGAGTTAAATTGTTGTATTAGAAATGCGAACATAAGTAGGCCAGCTACACATTCATTGTTTCGGCGAAAAGATTTACTGTGTCAAAGCCGTCGTTTATGTCACAGTTGACCAAATACGATGTGTGAGGCCGTCATGCATGGCAACACAGTCAAATGTCAAAGCCGACTCTGGTCTCTAGTTCTCTTAAAAGGAAAAATCTGGACAAATGCATACATAGTGCTTATATACATAGGAACTTTACTACATATGTTGAAAAATAAAAGAAATAAGTGTTTATTAAAAAGCTTTGAAAGAAACATACAAATGTGTAATACACTAATAAAATGAGAATTGTGACAAATCGAACTGTTGAATTAAACTCCGAAAACAATATTTCTAAAAAAATACAAAAGAACTATTTTGACAGAGAGCTTATTACACGAAAACCGAATGACGGCTATGTCGTTTGACAGTTAACAATGTTGCCAGCGAAGACTCGAAAACTGCAAATTAAATTCCATATCTACTGATGGCGCGGGGGCTGAATGTGTCGCGATATATGTTCCTCCTGTTGCATTTTGGTGCGAAATTCGGCGACCAAGTCACGAGATTGAGCCAACACGGCCAATTGCTCATTCAAAAGCTCCTCCCACTGCGTCGCATATGCTGTAATGGAGGAGAAATGATACTATAGACTAAGAATGGAACGCACGCCGCGAAAAGCGTGTGTAAGCGATTAGGTTCGATTAAAAATTAAATTGGGAGTCCTGTTTGTGACGTTAATTGATCGCGTTGTTAAAATGATTTTGATAAAGGATTTTTATCAGTAATTTTTGACAGACCCTATTTTTGTTATACTTTAAGTGTCGTTAGCTACCTTTTATACTATTTATTTAGACTTGATACAAAATATAAAAGGAATTAAATATTTCTTTGAAAGCAGGATCTTCCAACCCAAATAACCTCATAGCTTAAGTGGCAGAAGTATACAGTTTTTAATCTTATGTTTTCATAATTACAATTATTGTGAGACAAAAAGAAAAAACTTATGGTTCACCATTCACCCATTATTTATTATCTATGGCAGTGAGCGATAGCATTGGCAGATTATCTAGCGATGATAAATTAATATGATTTAGTAACTGATGTTTCTTATTTCAAACCTAGCAAATGACGCGATCGTGCAGTGCCAAGGCCATAGCTGACGGCACGTATACGCTTCCGAGCGTACATGTACGTTCCTGAAACACGTACTCACATACTCAACCATTGCGCAAATGACATAGGCCTACCATCTTAAAACTGATCAATAAATAATTTATACCCGACTGTCTATTTACCACGTACTAAAGGCAGGCCAACGGCTTAAATCACTTAAGCCGGTCAAAAGTGACGTGACAGTCAAAACCTCGCTCTATCTATTTATTTGGAAATTTACATAGTATGAAGTTAAACTTGTATAAGGCCAGAGACAAAAAAAAATTCATAGTACACAATTAAAACTTGTCAAGCTTGAATAAATTTCATAATTTACGGGGCTTAATTGGCCTTGGAGATATATTTTCCTTCGCCTTTTAAATTAGAATAATTCCTAAACTTCATATAAGCTACATGTGCACCAGTTAAATGTGACCTGATTTATGGAACCAAACAAAATATATTTGGATGTTTTGTACCTAAATGCACAATATAGGTTGCTTTAAACGAAAGGTTCTTTTTATCGAAATGATTATTTAATAATAAAAAATAAATAAGTTTTAATATTTTAAATGTAATTGTAATTAGGTGTGAAAAAAGAGTTGTTTTGTGAGAGTAGTGAGGACAAACAACATGTGTGTAAACATACCATCCTGATCGTAGTCCACGTCTCTAGTGATACCGAGCAGCTGATTGCATCTTTGCAGAGTATGCTGCATATAGTCAGAGATTGCCTTGTGATTGTCCAAAACTTCTTCTTCAGCACGCTGAAGCTCGTCTATCGCTTCGTGGAAGTTGTACATCTCAGCTGACATGTCGCCTTCCTGAAAATGTATATTATACATCATACTATGTAAGGAAGCAATACTAAGACACCTGTGTCATACAAGCGTCTTTATGGACTACTAATTCCATAATAACAAATACAATTATAAGAAATTATAAATTTTATAAGGCCTCTTTGATAATCACCTAGTAATTGAATAGCGTATAAAATATTATGTTAACGACAAAATATATGAACAAAGTGTCAACTTAAAAAAAAACAAAAATAAAAAATAAAAATATTTGTATCCAAATAAATAAATTTAAACATTTTCCTCAAAATCTTTTCTTATGACAAAGAATTTCAATTAGTATTATAACATAATAATAAAAATAAAAACAAAAAAGCACAGCGTAACTTCACACAATCTTTTATCGCATAATCTATATTAGCAGATATTAACGAGAACAAAAAAGACAACAATCCACGATTTTTTGTTTGTTAATAAAACATCACCCAGTTAATTATTAGTATCAAAAATGATATTAGAACCTTCCGGTGAAAAATGACCACTTTACTGTCCACGATGATCATAGAAAGCATTTATTAAACAGACCGATAAATATTCAAAAAAATCTTTGTTAAATTTGAATTGCTGCATATTCTGTCTCACCATTTAGAAGTTACGGACAGACATACACGGCACTTTAAAACTGCATTAGTTAACATGGACAGCAAATTTAATGACAGGAAAACAAATAAAAAACAGATACCTCAGGGTACACTAGATAACAATTATTCTGCAAAGAAAAAAAACTTATGAATTATAATTTTGATTTATCGAAATATACAAAATCAGTTGAACAAAACAATCCCCGCACCAAAAAATATTAGGTTTTTGTAACATTTAATCATATATGTGGTGTCAAGAAATTTTAACAATGCCACAAGATACGAAATACATATTCTTAAAAACACAAGCTTAAATATATAATTCTCTTCTATATTTTGTTTACTTAAGGGATAATATTAATAAAACTTATTCAACGGATATAAACACGGCGTATTTCCTCCTTAATATACTCACATTAAGAGACCGCAGATGCGCGAGATCGTCGTGTTCAGGCTCCATCTCGACATCCGCAAGAGGAGACTCGCCGCGTCTCGGGCCTTCAGATGTTCCGAGCTCTTTCACTCTGAAATATATATATTTTTTTAACTAATACTATTTTAAAATAATACTTTGCACGCGACTTTTCTACTGAAGATTCCTAATTACCACGACTATTTATGTTCATGCAATGTCTTTAGCATTAAATAATATTAATAGGAGCACAATTTTGCTATTCATTTTTACTCTTTGGTTTTGCTAGGAAACACATTTCTTGTTAATTTAAAATAATACCAATTAATACTACACTTCCTTTTCTCTTCTTTTTATATTATATTTTCTTTTATCTATATAATGAGTATTGTATTTTCATGTAATTAGTTTATACAATGTTAAAAACACAAAAGTCTACATTTGATTATTTATATTAAAAAGTTTATGGCGTGAGTAATTTTTCCGTCGTAAACGAAACTAATTAATGCAGTATTTTTTTCTGAATAAATTAATATACAACACGTATTTTAGATTGTTGTAATATAGAACTCAAAAACTCCTAGACCAATTCGATAATTTAATATCTATTTCAAAAATATTAAAAAAAAAGTTAGTGCCGAATATGAATAATACTGACCTGTCAGCATATCGCAGCGTATTGAGCGAGTGTTCACAAGACGACATGGCGGGTGAGATCATAGCAATCATACAAGTACGAGATTTGTCGCCAATGAAACTGTCACGAAGCACCTGGAACCAGTCGAAAAAATTTCATGGTAAAATGTTATTTGAAATCTAAACCATCGAAATTCAAATAATACAATTTGTGACCGTATAAAAACCATAATGGTTAACAAAAATACCTTTTTTTTTTTCTTAAAAAATAATACACGACATAATTTAAAAAAAAATTCAACCAACTCAAATACCTGTTGACACCTTTTGAAACCAATAAATTTTTAGCTTATATAATTATTTTATAGACTAGTGTATATAATTATTTTAAATTCACTAAGTCTCGAAAAGAACTTAACCGATTTTATCTGTTAAATTCAGACTTAACAGATAAAATGTTTCTCATAAGTTCGAAAAGAACTTAACCGATTTTTATGAAACTTAAGACTGCAAGTTAACTAAGTTTCTAAGTTATAATAGACCTGATACAAAAATGCGAAATTTATCTGACATGTCGTAAGCCTAAATAGATTCTGATATTTAAATATAATCAAATTCCAACAATATCACCTACATACAGATAAAACTGATTACACGTAACACACGAAAACTACTTTTTGATGTGAAACATCTATAGCCGCACGTAAAACCGAATTCTGGCGTGGCGACGCATGCCGTGGCGACGATTCGCCACACTATATGATGGTATATACAGTCTATATGCAGTAGCGTGTACGGTGTGTGTATTTCGAAGTCACTGATTAAACGAATTAAGTAGTCACGATATGAAATAAATTCGTAAATTTTTGTATTTAATGAAAATAAATGTTTATTTAATGAATAGTCATCGTTATCTGGAAAAAAAATGGTAATATTTAATTTTATCATTATGGCATATTCCTATCACAATCTGTTCTTTTCTGCATATTACTTTTACAAAATAATGTCGATGTTTCACATCAGCCAGGCGTCCCGTGACGGCTGACATTTTTTATTTTTTAAAGTATCAAACATGCACAACGTACCACGAAATAATTGTTATCTAGTTACCCACCACAGCAACCCTAGTGCGGGTACTAGCGATAGGTGAATTTTGTCACAACTATATTTCTGTCATTAATAATGATTTTATTATTATTATATAATTAATTACTTAATTACCTGTGTTAGTTTGGAGACTCTGAACGGTAAATGGTTATTGCCTTTCATTCCGAGAGCGCGAATACACTCCTTTAATGCTAGAAGAGATTTATTGATCTCGGCACTTTCCATACCTGAAATATACGAATTAATATTATTAAAACTATTTTAATTTTGTTTAAGTACCTGTATATTAGCAGCCAGACATTCCTGCATATATTTGATAAGTTTTTTAAAAGAGAGCTCTAACAATTATTTCCCCGGAAATCAAAGTCCGAACATGATATTATGCCTTTACTTATTTTTAAAATCAAAGACAGAACTTGATTGAACATACTTCTTTTCCTAGTTATACCTAGAGTTTTTATTCAATTATTTAATGCATCTCATTTATATGTCTATATTTATGCATGTCAAATTTATCATTTTTTTTCTCGTATTTATTTATTGCTGATTACTACAGACTACTATACATTTTAAAAGTGCAATTGGTGCACCTCACCACCGCACGGTTGTCAAGACGTATACTCACGTGTCTGCCTATTTGCGGAGGATGTGTCGGCGCCCCTTTCGTTACCCGCGAGATCGATGAGAGAGAATTTTCCGTGCACACGATGCATTCCCGGAGACCGTACTATTATTTGGAACACGGCGTGCGATCGGGAAGAGTTTGAATTGGCTGAAGTCTGAAATTTAAAAAATGTATTAATTTGTTGTTAATATTGTCTTAAGTATTTTCTAAAATTAAGAAAAAAAAATCATTTCATCGCTAGATTTTGTTTGTTTGATTGGCTTCATAAGAAGATTATAATTCGTTTGGGTGTGGGCTACAAGTTAAATGTTATATATAATAATACAATAAGTATCTCGCCTTGGATTTAAGCAAAAATTGTGCCGACAAATTCTTCTCTAATAAAGATATAAGATATATTACTGAGAATTAGCCTATGTATAGTGTAAAAAATAAATAATTAAATGCTAATAATAATCTATGTATCTGTTATACTACTGCACTTACAAACACATTTCATAGTAATTTTCTCTATACAATTACAAATATATGTTTAAAATGTCTCTTTGACTGCATGCCACCACTTTTATTATTATTATTTTTACTTACTTAGAACTGGGCAGGCTCACCGGATGTTAGTGATAAAGCCCATAGGCTTCAAAGAGAGATTCTATTTATTCTATATAGATAGAGAAAATACTCAATACAACTACATTAAGCAAGTCGACATAATATTCAAAACCTTTAAACGTCAAAAAAGTTTTTTTTTTTTTTAATTTTTTCACATACCTGTCCCGAAGTCCTAGCAGAGTTCCCGTGTTGTATAAGCTTGAGAACTTCATCAACATTATCTACAACTTTCTCAGTCAAACCCACTATCTGCACTTGCTGCTTGCCGTCCTCTAGCACTCGTAACTTCGCCTTGTCCGCTAGTAGGTCGAATACCTATAAAGAGATTTTGTTTTAAATCTTATCTTATAAACCTCAGTTGGCTCTAGTAAAAATTTGATAGAAATTGTTATATACAATCTTCGAATCAAACTAATAAGTTGCACAATGTTTTGTCTCTTGCAAATGACAAACACATAAGAAAAGATAATAATTTATAAAAATAAGAAAATCTTTGTATCTGACATTCACATTTAAATTATTCAAATAAAAGCAATTCGTCATAGTCGTAGGTAGAATAGTGACGGATCTGTCAAATAGTAAACTTTACAGGGCAGCCATTTCAATATAATATAATCATGTTAGTTTTTGTCATAGCTATTTTAATTCATATTCTGTTATTATGAAAATTGGCATACAAGGAAACAGAAGGGTTTGTTTTGAAACCAAATAAAAATAATAACATTTAATTGCACTGGTTTCTAGAAAAATCACATGTTTCTATTAAATCCGTCACTTTACGGCTGATTAATTTGAAATTTATCACATGGATTTTTTTATAATGTAGCTGTAATATTTAGTCAATGTAGTATCCAAATATGATAAAAAGTGGATTTTGGATTTTTTTCAAATCAACATTGTTCTACGATCATGACAAATTCTTTCTAGAATTTTAGTTCAGCGAATTATAAAATTAATTACTTCCACCGATTATACAATATTATTATTAAATTTAAATAAATAAATATGAAATAATATTTGACTAACTTTTCCGGAGTATATCTCGAAGAAGGAAGCGGAGACGATGAGGTTAAGCGGCTTGTACTTGTGAGACTTGAGGTATGTGAACACATCACGCGCCGCCATTGCGTATATGCCCTTCTTGCAGTCTTGCTGCTTGCCCTGAAATCATATTCAAAAATTATTTTAATTCACATCTTTCTATATACATCCACGAAAATGCAATAGAAGAAATAAGTAAATTTTATTTTTTCTTATTATAAGCTAAATCTCTATATGTACCGACCTATACACAGTGTACAATATCAAGCAATAAACAGGCAAATTTCAAACAGCCTTGGCTACCAACTATAATAAAAAAAATTTAAATGTTTAAACGTTTTTTTTTTATAGAAGAGGGGGCATACGGGCAGAAGGCTCACCTGATGTTAATTGATACCGCCGCCCATGGACACTATCAATGCCAGAGGGCTCGCGAGTGCGTTGCCGGCCTTTTAACCACACAAGCGTCCGTTTCAGCCACATTCTCTGGCTACTGACTAGAACCAATTATTTTGCCAGAAACCGAACCTAATACCGATCATAAATGTATTAAAGCTATCAAATAGTTGAATACGTACTTGAAAATCTCCCCCCATTGTGTGAGTTTTCCCTGACCCGGTCTGTCCGTACGCGAAGCACGTTGCCATACCGCCTTCAAATATTGTCTGAACTAGAGGTTTTGCTGTATATCTGAAAATATTAAATATATACATATACTAGCAGACCGGCCAAGCGTTGCTGTGGCTAAGGCTTCAGTTATATTACATAGTAGTAAGCTATTCAAGAGAAACGGTAGGAGAACACCAGTCATGGGGACCAACATGCTTTTTTGGTGGTAATGCCATTAAATTGTAGATTATATGAAACGTTGGTGAGTACTTTCAACACAGCGCCATCTGTTAGAATTGTGACTATCAATTAATAATAAACAAATATTTTGCAATAAAATAATATTGCGGATATAAATTGAGGTGTAAGCTATCCTATCTTTTAAGTTAGTTCAAACTACACACGGTGTGCAAATTTGATTGAAATTGGTTCAGTAGTTTAGGAGCCCATAGCGGACAAACAACGTGACACAAATATATTAAGATTAAGATATAAAGGGTTTCCAAAAACACATTGAGTTTCCTAATATAACGTGACAATACATAATACATACAACATGGTAAGAGAATAATTTTTCAAATATTTTTTTTAATAGCAGCGGCCAAACGGACAAGAGTCGATACCGACGCCCATCGTAGTGCTAATGCATAAATAAAATGCTTACTTATAAACAATTTCGTTAGTACAAGAATCATCGAACGCATAATCGAAGCGGAATTTCTGGTTCTCGAGGTATTTCGTGAGATCCACTTTGTTCTTCGGCTCGTGTACTATCATTTGATCCTTCGTCGGTACACTTATTACGTCCACCTGAAAATCGTAAAACCGGATTCAATTCACCATAGTATTTTAATGTATACAGTACTTATTCTAGCAACATAGCGACATACATTTTTGGCATTAGGGTAACCGGTATTAACAAGTTATTTGTTTAATAAAATAAATGTATATTATGTAACAAATTAGACATCGTTATTTACAATTTTTTTACAATTGAATTACGGTAAACATTATTAAAATTAAAAAATTAACAATGGCCCAACAAAAATCAGCTCAGGCGGAACGTGACAATGAGTCATGTTTTTTCGTGCACGCATCGCAAAAAGAAGAACTATATGTCCTGTCCTGTTCAGTTCAGTCCAGTCCAGTCAGATAAAAGAGAATAGAATGAACAGATCATCAAATTTTGAATACATACCTCTTTCTTACCAACTTCCTTTTTGTTAAGCGGCCTCTTCCTAACGCATACTGTGATTTGATGGTCTTCAACCGGCTCGTTGCCTAACAACGGCCGGAATTCAATGCTACTCTGGTATTCGCGTATCATTGCTAGGAACTCCCAGTTCGGATTACCGGGATCCATATTCATTAGGGCTTCCTGAAAAATTTAAAAAAAAAACCGTGAATATCTTCTTTTCTGGCTCTTTGAAACCAAACACGGTCTGAGACAATTTGGTCAACAATATTTTGTCTCGTTTACTTATTTGCCGAGGGTCGCGTGAGAGATAATGACAAAACATTCCATAGTTCTTTGAGATCTATAATTCAATATTTATGAGTAAATTTACGAATATTTAGAATAAATCATAATTAAATACTAAATAATATTAAGAACATTTCCAATAACATTATTTTTCTACTTGGGCAAGGACACTGACATATTATTATTTTTCTCTGCATACTTAATTAAGAAAATAGAGTACAAAGTACAAGATTTCTTTAAACTAGACATACCTTTAAGGAAAATGTATTTATAATTATCAGGAATATATATATTCAGTGTTGGCATGGGTTTGGCATCAATTTAAATTTATAATAATTGTTAGCATGTTGTAAAGAAAATAATCATTTACATACTTATACACTTATGCATACTTGATTACTACTTCAACAATAATCTTATCACTTATTTTCCTGGTTACATGTACCTTGCACCATAAAGGAGCTGTAGTCTAGTCACAACTCAGAGGTCCTAGCGTCAATCAATTTTGTCACACCCCAATTTGTTTTGTTTTTGAATAAACTTTTATGTTTTTTTATTAATTACAGAATAGAAATTAATTAATTGTGTGAGTGGGTTATAGAAGAGTTAAAAGGGAAGGAACCTTCTCCTCCTTGAGCTCAGCCTGTCTCTGCCGTCGTTTCTCGCGATTCTCCTTAAGCCTCTCCACTTCCTTTACCACGTTGGAGCGTCTCACGGCCCCAGACGCCACCTGGTGTGGTATGTAGACATTACTGGAGACTGCTGCAGGCCGTGCTGATGTTACTGGCGGGGTATTAAACTGGAAATCAGAGAAGATATTATTCATTAATAATACAACGATATTTCTCGCTTGCTGCACATTTCTAACATCGTAAAACAAAAATGCGAAAATTTAAAAAAGGTTCTTGCGATAAGACTTTTTAATTTACTATATTAACTTAACTAAACTTACTATCACATACACGTCAATAACATAAATAAATTACAATATTCATTCTACTACTAAGTCTTAAGATGTCTGTTCGTAGACTTTACATATTATTGTCTACCATATTTTCAATCAATGGAAGAACCTCTTTGTTATGCATCCGTTTGTTAGAGTAAGGGTTTTGGATAACGGAAGCGGCACTCGGCGTGCTACCTGAGCGGGTACGACCGCCTGAGTTTGGCATCTGAAAAGGGAAATAATAGGGGAAAAGGAGATAAGCAAGGAATAAAGGGACAAGGTATAGTACCCAGTAAATGGTTTATTGACGTTTATAGCGAGATCGGATGTTCAATAAATAGTAAGAGAAATAGAAGTAGACTTATGTCTATCTAACCTCTTCTTCTATATGCTATTCATTATGAACTGGTATAGGTTGATACCAAGCACCACACTGAAAAAACTGCAAACTCCGATTTATATATTAATAGATATAAGTAGAACCCTGGCAAGGTATCTTTCTTATATATATAAATATATTTTAAATAAATCATCTAGACCAGACATATATTATGAGAGGTAAGGTGAACAAAAGATATGTGTTAATGATCTGTGAAAACTTCGCAAAGGATTCATTAAACTCCTTGTTGTCTACGGAATTAGCATCAATGACAAACACCATAGAATAAATGGAATTATTATTTATTAAGAAAACTGGTTCAAACTACGCGACCTTGAATGATAATGATCTGCAACTTTAAGTTTGCCACATAGATTGCATTATCTAGTGCTCTTAACATTCAAGTGTCCGTCAAGCTTCGTGATTCGTGATTAAATATTTATACTTTCTCGAAAGCGCTTCATTAAAAGATTTGTGAAGATTATTGAAAATACATTTAAAAGAAAATTTGTAATCGTGCACGCCTCAAGTTGGTTGTTGCTCAAATGTTAATAAGGACCAGGAGTAAACGATAGTACATTACCTAATTACATCTTAATCTTGTATATCAAGATTTGTCTCACCTGCTGAGTCATTCTAGAATTCGGCGGCTGCACCGTGGCCTGCACCGGCGGCGGGACATTTTCTGCCCCTCTGCGTCCGGTCGTGTCACCTCCGTGCCCATTGGTGTATGCACCTACGGTGGACACACGTGCCTGATTGTTACGAGTCACCCGTGCTGGCGCTGAAATTTTTAAAAACCGAATAAGATAGTGTCTATATATTATTTAAAATATGTCCTCTGTAGCTTGCAACAGACCAGGCTTGCTATATTTTATTCTTTAAAATCTATGTCAAATTACTTTATTAAATCATGGGGTAATTTAACTGGTACCTATTAACGAACTGTCAGTATACATGCTTCATTAATTACGGCTTAGGAAATTACTTCTCTCGGCATTACCATCTGAAAGTGAGTGTGCGGTTTTCAAATATATAGCCGAATAATTCCGTGATTTGACAATTTCTTGAAATTCCGTTTATATATTTAATAGTGAAAGCCAGTCCTAAGAACCTACTTAAGCTTAATTTTTATTACCGTGAAAGTGCTGTAATGCTTTAAACGATTAGCTACGCTAATTATCTAAAGTGGAACTGAAAATATTGCATAAACAAATTTTAAAGATAACTAGAAATCGGTTACTTAACGCAACATAACTGTGAATAAAGCTATTAAATTCAATGCATCCGAGTCTTACGTGACTTCGGCTTTTCCTCCGTTGCTTCTTCTGACGGCTTCGCCTTCTCATAGGCTTCAAAGGGAGCATTGGCCTCAGCCGAGTCCGCGACCCGGCGACGGCAGAAAAGCCACGAACAACACATTTCGAAAATTCTCTCTGTCTATGTTGACATTCCCATAGATTGTATAATTTTAATTAAAAACACATAGATCAATTTTACACCTGTTCTGCTAACTGACTGAGCCAAAATAGCAAGTGCGTTGGCGCAAGGCAATCCTGTAGTGACACCATATTAGGAGCTATATATCAAGGCAATAAACCGTGACACAGTCACGGCCCGACGCAGGCAAAAAACTGCATTTCGACCAAATTGCCCAAAACACGCATCAAAAAGACCTTGTATTACAACCGATAACGATAAGGTACGTGACCAATTATACCATTTTGACACTACGTACAAGTACACCAGTCTCTACTAAAAATAACTAACACGAGATTATTTAACTATAAAACCTTGCGTGATCCAAGGATTTCTTCTAAAATAGTCATAACTAAACTATTTCCGATATAATGAACAGAATAAGACGTCAAAACACGAACTAGTCAATAAAGGACTGAATAGGAATCAATTTGATACGATTGTTTAATGTTCGTTTAAAATTGGATATTAATTGCCTACCGCCACTACCTTTTGTAGGGTGATGAAAAATGTAGCGTTGACGTCATAACATGGATCAATAGCGTGACTGATGTCTTGGTCTTGTCTGTTACATATGTCAGGACACATAACGGGTTCCCCGGAACTGGTTGGACTTTAATACCAGTTTGAAAGACTAATTCATTCACAAGTTCATTAGCTTTAGTAGTAATAAATTTTTCTTCTAGAAATAGAATGAATAATAATGTTTACACAGTAGGTATAATAAGTTCGAACTGTCTATATCATATCAACCCGACTGATTTTAATGCGGTATTCATTAATGCAATAGATATCAATATAAAAACTTCTCGATCTTATACGGAATGATTTTTAGATAATTTATTTTAAGTCAAACTTTAGCACGATTGCATTATCTGAACCTTCGGAACCTTGAATGCACGAATTAAGCAAACATACTCTTGCAACGATATCAAAATGCAAATTTTAGGTGAAGATAACAAAAGTGTTACAAGTTCATCACACGTGTCAATAAAATGCTAATTTTTGAGAGAATCGTAAAATCGCGTTTACTGACCATAATATAGTATGAATGCAAAACTTTACACATATCTTGGTCTAAATATAATATCATTTTTTTTACAGAACAGAGGGCTAACGGGCAGGAACTGCTCACCTGATGTTAACCCCTTCGGACCTTCATAAATATTGACGATATAAAAATTATTTTTTATGTTTTATTAGCTCATTAGAGAATAAAGAACATATTTTGTTAAAAAAATATAATTTTCCTTTTATAGTTTTTAGAAAATTTTATGTCCACTGAAATGGACGTCAGGTTCTTAGTGTTGTTTCTTAATGATTGTACTCGGATTTATATACTAAATTAATATTAAATTTAGTACAGAACGTTACTTATATTGTCTTTTACGTGTATTAAATATAATCATTTAAATTATTTTATAGGTCAGTATAAATAATTTAAACGCGTTTCAAACCGTTATCAAGTTTTTTATTTAGAAATGTTACTCTTTTATCTCAATGGATAGGTTATTGAATTAAAAAAATATTTCAAGGATTTTTTTGTTACTAACACACTTAACATAAATTTAATCAAGATTTTTGGTGAAAAATACGGAAACAATTTCAGTCACTAGTAAGCAGAGATTATTCCGCATTTGAGGCAATAAACATTGTTTTGCCCTTGCATTCTTTTTTACATCTAGTAGCTTCCTTTTTTATCGTATTCTGGCAAATGATCAACAGTGAACTTCAGGTATTGGCCCCACTTCAACTTGCGTCGTCGAGTTTGTGTAGATGTTGGAATGCTTGTGGGGCTGCTACTTCCTAAAGATGGACGACTTCTCTTACTGTTGTTTAGTGGCTGTCCCATTTTAACAGCGAATCTGCTGCACTGCGAGTAAATCAGAATATCTTTCTCATGTATCTTACAAATGGAACCGTTGCCTGATATTCCAACCAATGTTAGATAGTGATAAATCGATGGCATGGAATATCCATATCAGTCTTGCAACAAATTGGAAAAGTAATTGTCATAGAATTAATAATGTCCAGGGCTAATTATTCGCTTTGCCAGTGCATTAACATATGAAGCAGAAGCTTGATGCTGATTTCTTCTTCATCTCACAAAGGTTCGTTGGGGAGGACGATATTACTACCTTCACGAGGCGGCCATTTTGAAGTATTCTGTAGAATTTCATCATCACTTTCTTCGTCGATATCAGATAAAGTCCCATTTTCAAGTATGTTGAGCAAATTGTCAACGTCTCCTTGTCGGGATAAGTCAAAACCTGAAAAATAATAACAAAGTAGGTAAAAATAGTATGTTTTATTCAAACTTATCTCAATAAAAGTTTATGCTCAAATTTATCGATTGGAACCTGTTGTCCATTACAATGGACATGGCAATAAGTACAGATTTTACATAGTAAGACACAAAGATTCATAATTATTATCATGTCTGCATGTAAAATAAACACTATTCATTGAGAAAAAAAATAATTCAACTTTATACATAACAGCTATGTTCAATAAAATTAAACCAAAAATATACTTACGTGCTGGTCGGCTGTCTATGACTGTTCACTACACTTGATTAGTTATTTCCACCTAACCACATCACATTTCTTAAACGTTGTTTATAATATTAGATTCTAAGTACTTCTCGGATTTCTAGCATTAATTTACAATCGACTTTTGATAAGACCCAACAATACAACGAGTGTTTTATGAGCATGTCCACTCACATGGACGCCAGGACCGAAGGGGTTAAGTGATACCTCCCATGGCCACTCTCAATGCCGCAGGGCTCGCGAGTGCGTTGCCGGTCTTTTAAGAATTGGTACGCTCTTTTCTTGTAGGATCCTAAGTCGAATTTAAGGAATTACATATTTTGACTCTGGCAAGTCAATACATTTATGAGAATATTTTGTATACCTATGCGGAAAAATATAGATATCTTTAAAAAGAATAGTAGCTTCCATAATTATAGTACTCGTAATAAAGACAAAATTAGCGCACCAACCAGAAGGCTGCATAAAACGAGTAATTCTTTCCAAGGCAATTGTATACGTTTTTTCAACAAAATCCCTAGTGAGATACAAGCGTTGTCAATAAATAAATTTAAATCGTACATTAAAGTAAAACTGCTGGCTAAGGCTTATTATAATATAAATGAATATTTAAACGATCCTAGTGCTTGGATATGAGTTGCTCCAGTATATATTATAGGTAACACGACTGAATCTCTCGGCTGCATTTCCAGACTCTGGGGCGATCGTCAACATCCACGACTGTTTTAATGTAAAGTGGGAACAAACCGTGATCCATGTGGTATCCAATTATTTCAGTATTATTATTATTTTCTTATGTAGCCAAGTCCACATTTCAAGGTTCGTCATGCTCGCTTAAATGTCATTGCTTGTGGCGGCGTCCATGCGTCGGGTTGTCTCTCTCCCTAAAATATGGCGAGGGGGCCGATGGCTGGCCATGCGTCATACTCGTGAACGGGTGCTACTTGTGATGACTGGTCGTACTTGAATTCGTGTATGCGGTGATGTTAATTATTTCGACTATGTGTTTGCGTGTTGTTCCCACGAGAATGTAAGTGCGTGCTCCTATTTCACCATGCCTCCTGCTGATAGGGGACAAGTCTTTGTTTTTATTTATGTTATTATTATTAATTACTTAAATTGTCATGTGGAACATGGTGTAATGGTTGCAGCTCCTTACAAACGATGTGTAAAAAAAAAAAACATGGCGATTAAAAAGAGTGGCGGAGAGTTTATTGCCAGTTCTTCTCTTCCGTTCTACGCCCTTGATTTGAGAACTGGCAGTAAATGTAAAATTAGAAGCATTAATATTTATTTCTTTAATGACGAATCACAAGTGTACGTTGTGTTACCTACGTGAATAAATGATTTTTGAATTTGAATTGGTTCGGAAATACTTCAGTGGGCAGTATCTTTAATACAATACTTTAAAAAAACTAATTTTTACCACTTGCAGCAGACACATGTGTCTTTTTTATTTATTTTTTAAAGGCAAATAGGCGATCAACCTTCTTTGCCTGGCACACGCTGTCGAATCTCAGGTCTAAGTTTAACATTCAAATTCGGGACTTATTGTGTACCTTCCTATATCAAAAACCAATACGTTGACCTTACCACTAAATATAAAGAAGAATATTTTTTAATGGATAACTAAGTACAAAAATATAAAAAAAAATATAGTGTTAAACATAGTTAAACCTTAGTTTCAGTATTTTTTAAATTAGAAGTACGCGTGCAGCTAAGTGCAAAAGTAATATTTATAAAGGATCAGCCCTATTCCACGTAGAGCATTGGCCTATTTCCCCGACAGCGATCTGATTTATTAACTCTTACATTAACCGGCAAACCACGACTGGCGCGCGCGGGGCCGCGCTCTATGTAGACGGGGTCGCCGGCGCGGCGACTCGAACATTGCGGCTCGAACTGCCGCGGGTCATCCGCTCCTGTCGGTTTTGAGACCGCATCAAAGGAGCTTCAGTCGTTGGCTCGCGCGCAGTTGGGACGGTTATAGTTATGGTGATTTGGCTCGCGCGGCGAATACGTAAATAAGGGTGCGTGTACTTATGTACGCGCGTAAGAAGTTATACTTTCTCATATTAAAAATAGTTTCTGATTCATGCAAATAATTAATTACAATTAAATAATCAAAGACTGGAAAAGGAGTCATTATAGTCAATAAAGTTCAGTTTACATTTGAAAAATTAAATAAATAATTATATTTATTTTTCTTTTATTTTTTTACAAATAAGATGGTGAATCACAATGAAAGCGGAGCCGCCCGACCACCGCGTCCATACTCGCAGGTTTACAAAGTGAACTGGTCTGACTATCTGCCGCGGTCTGTTTGTGATCGATCGCCTGCCGCGCGCGGCAGTCACGTCCAACTAAATTTAATCTTCTTATTGGCTCGCGCGGCAAATGAAGGTCAACTCTGGTCGAACATTGGCCCCGCTGCCGCGCTTAATTTATACGCAGCTTTACGGGTGTGAACTTTGATAGTGCGCTTTGGCACTTCGTTACTGATTTAATTCATAGCGATATTTTTTTACCTGACTCGCCATGCTAATTTTTTGTTTTCGTAATTTAAACTACGGATCTATTCAGACTTCTAACCCTCTGATATCTTCTCCGTTTCATCGATGACCATTCTCTGAATTAGCCTTCTAATATCATAGAATAATTTAGATTTCACCTTAAACTATGTACGTGTATTTATTTACTATATTTTCCCATGAGCATTGCGTAATTTCGATAGCATATCTAATTTCCATTTAATCAATACCAACGTGTCCATTTAATAGATTTTCAGTCAGTTCTTCTACGTGACTTTGACTAACAAGATTAACTGTAACAGATTTGTTACATCAATGGATAATCTTAAACTCGACATCGAACAATCACGTAGCTTCACAACGATTTGTAAAGAGTAAATAAGCTTTTTTATTACTATAAAGAAGACAAAATATATATAAATTCGACAAGAAAAAAGAAACGTTTTTTTCCCGGGAACAATATACTATCCCGGGATCAATCATCCCGCTTAAATTGGTAAAATTTCAAGAAATATATACAATGCAGAAGATCATTAGGTTTAGATAGTACCAAATTGTGAAAAGCAGACTATAACGATGCAGTTACGGTAGCACAAAGCAATTCAGAGATAATCGTGGGAATTCGCAGGTCGTTAGCATGCGCCCACGCAGCTTGACGACCTGAATCACGGAGGTGCGAACTCAATTTCTTTACGAGATAAGATAAGTTTTGCTTTAGGCGACTATGACAGGTCAAAAAGGCAGGCACTTCGAAAGATATGAAGACTTAAAGACACTTTTAATATTAGTTGACCAGATAATGACTTAACTTACTTTTAAAGATACACATAAGTGTCACTAAAAATGTCAAAAAGTTTTTCAATGACTTAACTTACTTTTAAAGATACACATAAGTGTGACTAAAAATGTTAAAAAGTTTTTCAATGACTTAACTTACTTTTAAAGATACACATGAGTGTGACTAAAAATGTTAAAAAGTTTTTCAATGACTTAACTTACTTTTAAAGATACACATGAGTGTGACTAAAAATGTTAAAAAGTTTTTCAATGAGTTAACTTACTTTTAAAGATACACATAAGTGTGACTAAAAATGTTAAAAAGTTTTTCAATGACTTAACTTACTTTTAAAGATACACATGAGTGTGACTAGAAATGTTAAAAAGTTTTTCAATGACTTAACTTACTTTTAAAGATACACATGAGTGTGACTAAAAATGTTAAAAAGTTTTTCAATGAGTTAACTTACTTTTAAAGATACACATAAGTGTGACTAAAAATGTTAAAAAGTTTTTCAATGACTTAACTTACTTTTAAAGATACACGTGAGTGTGACTTAAAATGTCAAAAAGTTTTTCAATGAGTTAACTTACTTTTAAAGATACACAAGTGTGACTAAAAATGTCAAAAAGTTTTTCAATGACTTAACTTACTTTTAAAGATACCCATGAGTGTGACTAAAAATGTCAAAACGTTTTTCAATGACTTAACTTACTTTTAAAGATACACATGAGTGTGACTAAAAATGTCAAAAAGTTTTTCAATCTGCTACTACTACTGAATATGTACTAAATTTTATAAACACATTACCAAGAACCAGGAACCTATCATAAATCATGCATAAGAAAAACCTTTGTCATTACCGGGTGATTACAGCTTAATCAACCGAGAAATTGCCAGTCAACGTCGTACCACAAACGTATTTCTGAATGAACTAATCACATATGTTATCACTTTCTCAACTATGGAATGAAGTTCTCTTCGCCTACTGATACATTTTTCCAATATAATCAATTATTTCACGAGTATGTCACATTCTGAAACTAACCACAAAGGAACTCTATCACAAGGCAATAGAGTGTACATTGGGGGAAATATTTATGTTTGATCGATGCTTAGGAGCAAAATTCGATGACAAACTTCAATGCTAACATCACAACATTAGTCACAACGAGAATCTCTCAGAACTTACAGCCTGTTGTTGCCCGGCGTTGCTTCAAAGGACACTTTTGGTACAACGCTGGCATTTTCCTTTATAATTTATACGGAATTATTTGAGGAAGGTCAGGTATAGCGATCCGATCCGCACCGATCCATTTATTCCGGCATAGAATACGGTGCCAGACGGTGTAGTGGCACGCGGCCGACCGCGTACTGTCCCTGCTCGCCCCTTGCAGCCTACACTTATAGCGAACAGTAAGGCTCGACTGACCGCCCCATGGTATTCACCCCATAACGCCATTATGATATTATAATGTGGATGTAATGCGTATTTGTCGCCACCACAGGAAGACCTGGCATCTGTGAGTGGGACGGGAATAGGTTGAGAAAGGTCATCGAAGATAGCAACTACGTACTTTCAGCATAGAATATTCTATTCTACTCATAATAATAATAATTAATGTTGTGCTTTTACCTAGTATGATATGGGAACGTGACATTATCTGTTGTGCTTCTAAGCTCACTTTAACCATCTCATATTTTTAACTAATACTAACATGAATTATGTGAAAGTTTGAACAGTCAATATCAAGATGCTTTATATATTATAATCTTGCGATTTCAATAAAATAAAACCAATATAAACAGTTGTATTTATTGAAAATAAGTATTGAATTTTAGGGTTTGGTCAAAATATAGAAAACAAGTTGAAGGAAAGAAGGTTTTAAATATTAATATTAAAAACTTTAAACATATATTATTATATATTTATGCCATGTGAAAAACGTGAGCTTATGTATATTTAATTTTATTATTAACATAGGTATGTTTATAAGTTCTTCTTATTCATAAATGTAAAAAGGGCTAAAAAGGTATTAAATGTTATTGTTTCTTGTCTTTAGCATTCTCGTGCCACGATGAAACACGAGAAAATGTTTAGTATATTTTTTAATACTAAGTTTACGATTAAAACTGATGAATATATAATTATTCAGAGGGCATAATTAAATCTTACATCAAGAACAGAAATTTAATTAAAAAATAACTGCACTGTTTACGTGCAAACATGGATTAAGCGTAGTATAGACGAAATCAAGTGGGATGATAATGACGCAGCGAAAATCCTAGTTTTAATTTAGTAAGAATGATGGCATATATCATGTAACACAAAGAACAATTAAACCAAAATAGTCATAGTTGCATAGTCATACAACCATAACAGTAATTAGAATAAAGTTAAACAATTAAGTGGCAATAAAGACTTAGCTGGAAGGACAATGTACCTGATTTTAAGAGATAAGACTTTACAAGAAAATTACACTATCACTATGGGCATTTCATTCGACATCTTTAAAAACTAAGAAGGTATTCGGATATAAATGACGAAGTTGAGATGGAAGATAAGATTCTAATGCTACGCGACGCGGCCACAGGCCTATTTTATAGCAAACTAGCTGACCCGGCAAACGTCGTCTTGCCATGTATATATATTATTTCTAGGAAACATTTTTTTAGTTCAATAAATCTATCTACTATAATAAAAAAATAGGGGTTGATCGTAGAGGGGTGAAAATTAAGTGTTGTATGTAATTTTGTATGCTGTATCATAAAAAAATCGAAACCAAAAAGTTTTGTCTAAAAAATAAAAATTTAGGGGTGGGAACATTTAGGGCGATGAAAAATAGATGTCCGATTCTCAGATTTACTGAATATGCACAAAAATTTCATAAGAATCGGTCGAGCCGTTTCGGAGGAGTATGGGAACAAACATTGTGACACGAGAATTTTATATTATAGCAAATATTTCTTAACAAACTACAGCCGGCCTTCAAGTTATAAACGAATTTTATGGAAAGCAAGCAACAATTTATTAGAAGTTTGCGTGTCTCAAACAACATATTTTAAAATTATCCAAACTGAAAGATCAAATAATAATAAGTCGAAAGTATGATTTTCATGATCGTTGCCTAGCAACAGAGAGAAGGTTTCAGGTCACATCGAATTCGGTTCTCAATACATTAGCAATAGAAGGAAATAGATGCATTACAATGTACTAGAAACACTTCCGTGAAAGCTCAATTTTCTACGCTAATAGTAAAAAGCAAATATGAGCGACCTTCACATAACCAATGTCAAGATTATATTAGCTGTTAAACTGGCCTTGACCTTAGCAGGATGTGAGCCAACGGCCAAGATAGGAAGTCTTTTTTTTTGATACACAATATCAGGTTGCATTCAAAACAAAATCAGTTTAACATTCTTTTGTTTTGAATGTATATTAAAATGTTTTAAAAGTCTCTTGTATGTCTATGAATCATCTTTCATACTTATATGGCCTTGGATACACAGTTTAATCTTTACTTCCATTTACAATGAAATATGCAATGACGACAAGTATTCCCGTAAGTAAGAGGAATAAGATAAATATATTCCTGAATATATTTTGTTCCAAATCTTTCTCAGAGAGAATAGAATGTGCAAGTAGGACAAACAATAAGAGCGATCTCAGAGGCCGTTGCCAAATTAACAGTTACGCAACGCAATCAATTAGAATGCGTAATACAGTAGGAAGTAACTATGCGAATATTGAACAATAGAATAAAAACGAGCACAACAAGCAAAGATAATGTGAGACTTAACAAACTATTCACGACTAAAACAATACTTTAAGCATTCATTGTATATGAGACGAATATCCCCGTCTAAATAGCTTAAACTGTCCAAAGTCAAAAACACAGTTAAAACATAAATAGTTGAAAATAATACACATTGGATAAACAAAGTATTCGTATTCCTAACCCATCACCCACTCTATAATTGTTTCTAACACACGAAAATCATTACATTAAGCGATTTCAACGTTGTGATTATCGACACCATGTCAGGTCACGGACACGCAATAGAGCATTGCACTTAGATTCAGTGATCAATTTAATAAACCTGCTTTAGAAAATTTTAAAGCAATTTGACACTTTAATATCAGTTCAGAAAAATGTACCCACTGTCACTCACATTTTTTATTTTATAGAACAGGGGGATACGGGCAGGAGGCTCACCTGATGGTAAGTGATACCGCCGCCCATGGACACTCTCAATGCCAGAGGGCTCGCGAGTGCGTTGCCGGCCTTAAATCCTAGGTAAATCTATATAATACTAGCTGATCCGGCAAACGTCGTTTTGCCATACATATTAATTATAGGAAACATTTTTTTAGTGCAATAAACATAACTATCTACTATAATAAAAAATAGGGGTTGATCGTAGAGAGGAAAAAATTAAGGGTTGTATGTATTTTTGTATGCTGTATCATAAAAAAAAATTGTCTAAAAAATAAAAGGTGGACCACCCTTATCACTCTTAGGGGTTTGAAAGATAGATAGTAGCCGATTCTAAGACTTACTAAATATGCATAAAAAATTCATAAGAATCGGTCGAGCCGTTTCGGAGGAGTATGGAAACGAACTTTGTGACACGAGAATTTTATATATTAGATGTATATAAGGGTCTCAGGCGGTAGTTTCGTAAGAACTCGAGATGGTTTTTAGGAGGTTTTTAGAAAGGTAGCTAAAATTTCCACATCGGATAACTATTTGCTATGGAGATACACTATCAGTGCACTCTTTGAATACTTTACTATTAATTTCTAGTTCTGTACCACACGAAAGAACTGGAAATCGTTTAGAACCTGTATTACATTGGGCGATTTCAGTTGTTGCTTCTTATGTGCCGCGTATGCTGTAATAATCCATCGAATCGTTCCAATTCGACAAGAGACTTCATCTTACTTTTGAAGTTCAGTAGAACCATCATATCCACTTTCACGCAATAATAAATTACTTTTCAAATAAACGGATCGTTGACCTCCACCTATCACTACGATCTGCGAAATGCACACTTCCAAGAACGTCTAACAGTACATCACTTTCTTAAACTGAGCGTTAGATAAAGAGGGCGAATCGCGTGATTGAATACCAGATGCCTTAGTGCCCTGATTATGAAAGTTTTATCAATATTATTGTGATATCAGAACTTGTTAATGTGCATAGATCTATACAAGTTAAGAGCAACAGAACCTTTGATAAGTATTTAATTACAACCACCTACTTTATTGTAATGTTTAAACGAAGTTAACGAAATAATATTCGCTATAATTACCGCTGCAATTTAGCCGTTCAGTAAATGAAATAAATCAATCAAATAAGTGTAGTAACCGTATCAATAACCGTGTACTTAACAAAAGAATTTAAATACAAACAGAAGTAGAACGTGCAGACAAAGAAATCAAAAGAACGAGTCATGCTAAAATAAAAGCTAAAATCGACAATGAAGGTTCATAAGCAGCGGATTCCGGTAAAAACCGTTATGATTTTAGCGAAGCCCGTCTCAACATATATCACTACATTTAACGGACATACACTGACTCATAGAGGATACTACTCTATTTGTACAGTTACGTTACGTATTAACTAAGCGAATTGAGGACTTGTTGAATTGCAATTGATAACAGAGTATTACGCGGCGCGTTCGTTGTAAGTTTATATAAAGCAACAAAAAGTAGAAAAAGGGTAAGAATATTGTATCTAACTGGAATATCAGATTTTTTGAAGTAGATTAAAAACCTATTAATCTATGGATAACTGTAATTATTTTAAGCATTCAGCACATTCACGTATATATAAACAAAAGTACTTACCCTTCGTAGCCACTGGGATGGATTGACGCGTCATGTCCTAGAAACAGAAACAATACTGATGATATTACTCACAACATAATCTACACAAGCAAAAAAGGCAAAATAAGCTTGGGACACGGGAGCTATTTACACTAGCGTAAAAACCTTTAGATATAAAATAACGTTATGCTAAGTTGTAAATTATATGGAAAATCCCGCATAGAAAAACATAATTACATCAAAACGACTTTCTGTTTGATTTTTAATGCGGGTTTGTTTGTAAACACTTTCTCCTTATTCATAAAAACTAAATCAGACTTATTACGCCGCTGTTCATCTCTTTGAGCCTGATTTTTAAACGCTGTAATAAACATTCCAGTATTATATGAATAGGGGGTAAGTGCTATAATTGTCTCATTAGCCATGCATAATCACGGCTTTTAGTTTAACATATAAACTCGCACGCATACACAAAACTATATTATCAACCACAACTATTACTATCTAGCTATCTTCATCTAAATGTATTTTATACAGACACAACTTATTCACCAAAAATATTGAAACAAATATATATATTTCAGAATATATATATATTTCAAAAACGAATGGTCCGCTAAGGGATGGTTAATTCGAAATGCAGTATCGGTCGACCAACCCCACACACCGACAAATTTAAAACATCCTTATCAGAACATCGTTAAATCAATGAAGACTGGATTAATTGAATGAAAAAAAATGCTATTAAATAAACACATCAAAATGAAAAGCCCAAATCAAAGGGCTCCGCTGGACCTAGAGATATGGAAGAGGATCGGAGTGACCAGACAGCATATCTGAGAATACCAAATGCCCGTCGGACGGCCTAGATATCGCTGGAAAGATCACCGAAGACGGCGTTCTCTTGTCACAGGAGGCAAAGACTCACTTTGGGTCGACAGCGGAGTACATCTTAATATATATATTGCTGACGGCAAGTTTTTCATATATATCATTTATAATAAAAAAATAGGGGTTAATCGTAGAGGGGTGAAGAGTTAGGGGTTTTTTTGTATTTTTTAATGCTGTATCATAAAAAATATCTAAAAATAAAATAAAAATATTTAGGGTGGACTACCCTTAACATTTAGGGGGATGAAAAATAGATGTTGTCCGATTCTCAGACATACCCAATATGCACACAAAATTTCCGAGCCGTTTTGGAGGAGTATGGCAACGAAACTTGACACGAGAATTTTATATATAAGATTACGTGTCACGTTGTTTGTCCGCTATGGACTCCTAAACTACCGAACCGATATCAATCAAATTTGCACACCGTGTGTAGTTTGATCTAACTTAATCCATCTCAATTTGTACCCGCAATATTATTTTATTGTAAAATATTTGTTTATTATTTGATAGTCACAATTCTAACAGATGGCGCTGTGTTGAAAGTACCAATGTTTCACATAAGCTACAATTTAATGGCATAACCACCAAAAAAGTATTTTGGATTGGTGTTCTCCTGCCGTTTCTCTTGAATAGTTTACTACTATGTAATATAACAAAAATCTTAGCCACAGCAACGCTTGGCCGAGTCTACTAGTAATATAAATATTCATATAAGGACAAGGCTCACAGCATATTAATTAAAAACTTTCATTTGCAAATGAAATGGAACCGTTAGCTGTGTTTAGCATCACTATGGATAATGAATCAAGTGACGCAACTAGGGTAGGCGGGGGTGGCTCAGCAATTTCCTTGTGCGCTTACATTGCACATTTCCTTAGCGAAACAGTTATAAATACTATATTCACCGCGTATTTGTGTTCACTAAACGGTGTAAATTGAACTAACATTAGTGGTATTTATTTTTCATATTGCTAATGGTTATTGTTACTTGTAGTAGTTATTTAAATCAAAGTCAAAATCATGATTTCATATAGGTAACACAATGTACACTTATGAACAAAAAAGAAATACATATTAAATGCTTCTAATTTTACATTTACTGCCAGTTCTCAAGGACGTAGAATGGAAGAGAAGAACTGGCAATAAACTCTCCGCCACTCTTTTTAATCGCTAAATAAAATACTATGACTAGTATATTTTTTGGTATAAAAACCCATAAAATTCCCTGGCCTAAAAACCACATTAATTTTAATTTAGAAAAGATTAACTATCCACCCCACCGAAATCGCCTATCATATTATGTCGACAACGAATTTTCTCATATTTCGGCAATGCGCAGAGGCGATGAGAACTTGGTAAAACTGATCCTGGTTGGTAACACAAAAGGCAAAAGATCAAGTGGCCGTTCAACTTTATGGAGCGATCAAGTGAAGGACAGAAAGAAAAATAAGACCTAGATAAGCCTATTACAGTGTACAGAAAAATGTACCTACACTGTAATAGGATAGGCGCTGGACAGAAACTGATCCGCTCCAGATTTTTCCTTAGAGACCACAACGCTCAGACATGAGAGCTACCAACGGAGAGAGAGATGCCACCATAGGGGTATGTGTTCTATATGTTTCCTCCACACAAAACTGATCCGAATTGAATGACGTTTTAACTTGTTGTCCAATATTCTCTGGGAGCAAGACGGCTGCAGGACAAAGCCATCGAGTCTAATCATATTTTCCTCGACAGCATCTCGCGCGGTGGTTAATGCCTAAACCAATAACCACTGCGAAGGGTTACTTCTTCTTACTTCTTTCTAAGACGAATGTGATTTTAAATTTTTTCACGTATTTGAATGCACTGAATTTAAAAGCTTTCATTAGAGTTTTGTTAAAGTAAAATAATAGGTATTTATAGTAACCTAAATATTGTAGAACTACAAGTGTTTAAAAACCCTTGACCTATTTTTCACACGACGCAGTTTAGTTTACATCGTATACTAGCGTTATTAATAGAATTCTTCCTCGCTATAAAGCGTTATTATTTGCAATACAATCAAACAATGTAGGCAAAGGGCGACATGCAATGGTACAAGACAAGACTACTTCTACTAATTCAGTGTCAAAAGATCAGTGGCTACACCAACTTTGACCTTTGGTGTGATAAAATATCCAACGGGAGCGTCTATATAAAATTTGTATGAAAAATGTTTTGAACATGATCACAAGGGGCGCTATAATCTAAATAAATAAAGTCGTGTCACTTACTCAAGAACGATCGTACCAATTTGTATGATTTTGTGTTTTTGGATGTCCAGAATAGGAAGTGTTAAAATGTTATGTTTCTCATTTGTCATAAATGGTTTAAAGAAACGATACTGACAGTTGACGTAATGCTGTCTATGGATTTGAAAATACTGCAAAAAGGTGAAGTTTTTTTGAATGTTTGTAGAAACAGAAATTAATAATTTTGAATTAATTTTAAAATATTAAATCTGCGCATTCATTGATCGTTTATAGGAACGAGATTCGCTAGCTAGTGTTCTTATGGTGACGTCTTTCACTCATTATGGTACATTATGGACTTGCTGCACTGGTGAACGATGTTTTGGTGCATTGACCGAACCATTACCGAACATCTTTTAACCAAGACTTTTACTACTAGCACCCTTACTCTGTAACTTCCACAAGAATACCGTATGCATTTTAGATGTACATAGTTCTTTGAATATCCGTAGCGCTGACATCGTAACCTTAAAGCTGGCCATAGACGGAACGCATGTTGCAGTCAAGACCGACTGCTGTAGAGCGGCCACACTTAGATCGCGTGGAACAAAACCATATTATGGGTAACTGGAACGCAATGGGTGAGATTAATTGAAGGAGCTATAACACTCTTAGGAAATCTATAAATTTGTAGGATAACCTAACAGGATTGATATGAATTACATAACTGGTAATAAACTCCGTCAAATTAATATAAGCACGACAGTTTACATAATTAATAATTTAATGAGTTTAAATCGTTAATACACTAAATAAGAGATGTTAAGTTAGCATTATTCATTATCCGTGTTTAAAACACCAAAGTGCTAATAAACGTTTTCTTCGAATAAAATGAAAAGCATTTTTCTTTGTTAGGACATACAAGAGCCCGAAGCAGATACATGACAGTTTAAAAGCCACTTTAGCTTTGAATACTTTGTAAAATTCAAGTGAGAATAATCTACATTTTCTTTGTGTACACGTTTAAACAAATTTAAAAATATCTTTATTTATGTCAAACTGTCGTAAACTTATACAATTAATCGACTATCAGATCGAATGAATGAATTATAAAAAATATATGTTTTTTTAATTAGTGTCTTCTTACCCAAAAGAATTATCTCGCTGGAAAGGGGACCTCTGCTTAGTGCCTTAAATGGTCGAAGGCCTTGACCAGTTGGAGCTATTTATAATCAATTATTAATATTTAAATTTAATTCCCTTAAAATATTTTAGAACTGAAATTTCTTTTAAAACAAAGATTAACTCGAGCCATAGTGTATTTAAATATAGTTTAGTAATGATATTTCATACATTTCTCTTATCTGTCAGAGGCTAATTATTCCTTCAACAATACTCAATTACTTCGAGAAAGGTTCCGCTTTATACTTAACGAATGAAAAGCCATTATATTCATCTTTCTTTTACAAAATGTAGTGAAAGTTATGCGGCTGTTCCTACATCCAAAGTACCAATGGGTATTTGACCATTTTTATTTTTTACATCGCGTGGTTTTTGATTCTATAAACAATTGATAGTTATAATATATAAAGACGCATTTAACAACTTCCAATAATAATGGTGATTTCAAGGTGGCGACCAGCTTAACGGATAATGGGATACTATGCTATGCTACAAAATTACAGAGTACTGGTGCTGGTAGGAATTAAACCCAGTTGAAATGTAAAGTTAAGGAACAATTTTATTATTTATAAATCATTATTATGAAACATTTAATTAAAAACAACCTCAATAGTATAATGTACTTGAATCTGCCGATAGATTTTCTCATACACAATACTATATATTGTCCCATTGAAACATATTCACAAAGAGTAGGAAGCAAGCCCATTACCTTCTATAACTGGTAGTCCATGCCAATATACTTGAATAGCCATCGCGAAATGGGCATGTGACTCATGTTTAAAATGCAAATATAGCCTTTATTGTCATGTAGCTATGGCTTACAAAAACAACCTGCTGAATCCAAATATGGATGATATACTTATTTAGTATTAACATAGCCAGTTTAAATTTATCGTTCTCCCTGACACTTTTCTCGTTTGATGATTCTATTTTAATGTATTTGTTTTCGTAGGCAATTCCATGAAACCCGGATTGATGCCGAAACTGCCAAGGTTTCTTTAGCCTACCCAGTCCCTTAATATATTTAACTCTCGATTTATTTATATAGACTTATATCCTATTTAGGCGGCCTTATTTTCTACATATTACTCTAATAACCATATCTACTTAATAATAACATCATCACGAATGTGATTTAGTGCAAAAACACATAGAAAAAAGCCTCTTTTGTGCAAACCATAAAAGCAACAAAAGTAAAAGTGGTGTATTGCCTAAAATAAACAAAAGTGCGTCGGACTGCTCGTCCGGCGCGTGCAACGACCAACGTGCTAATGAGTGCAATTTGCAATACCGATCGTGAGTTTCGCACGGGCAGCGTGTGGCCGGAGTCCCCGGTGCCTTCGCCCTCGCCGCCATCACGCAGGAACCCTCCATCATCCGAGGACGAGCCCGACGGGTCCTTACCAAACACGTATCAAAAACAGTGCAACTTACACAATCCTTACCATCCAACTGCATAATAACGTACGAGCGAACACGCCCGAGCTCTAAGTAATAGTGAAAACTGAAGTCACTAGTGAGTATGAAGGTGGAAAATCGATGCACGCTTCCATATATCAAGGTCATCTGACCATCTATTAGACCAGTACGATACAAAGTAATTAATGGAAGAACTATTTGATTTTGTTAAAACGCACGGGCCTATACGTTTATATTTGATATGTTTTTGAAGTGAAATTTCTTTAGGCGCATGAGGGTAAAATTTTTACGGATGAAATAATAATAATATTAGCGTCACGAAGATGTGCAGCGTTTTTGTCGAAGAACAGTAAGAGAGCGAATGAGACCAATTGAGAAAAGAAAGAGGGTCCGAATTACCTTATAGAAATTAGCTTTTTTTAAAATTAGAACATAAAGAGACTTGAGAAACAATTTTTTGATATGATACGCAAAATAATTTATATAAATCTCAAATTTTTTAAATTAAAATGCTACGTTTTTTTATTATCGATGAAATAAATTTAAACAAAATTAAAATTTGTATTAATCTTTGACACTTAATATTTTAATGACAATTAAATTCCTAACATATCTTTCTTTTTCTCTGCCTCGGTCTCGGAAATCTAAAGTTTTAGATTTGTACTAATATGAACAAGACTTAAAAATCAGTTTGCCAAAGAAGTTTCACTTCTGACATATGTACTTTGTACGCACGCACTTTTTTTATATCCAACTCTACTGGTGACAATGTTTTATGAAAAGTGATTTAATGGTTGCCTAGGTAACAGTGCGTAGATGCTCAACAAGCTATGACTCTACGTGAATAGTACCTGCCAGGTTATGATGAATGGGAACATGTCTACATACTCCTGTACTTAAAATGTATCACACAATCACAATGTCCTCAAATAATGTACTTGATTCATCATTATTATTAGTCGGAACTACAACAGGTCCTTAAGACCCGGCATCGAAATCGGGACTCATGCTTGCCGACGCTTTGGCGTCCAATAACAACATGCTTCGATACCCAAACAATGCGGGTGATCGCAGGCTGGTACAATAATGGCCTCGTTAATCAATAAATGCTCCATTATCGCAAAATTGGAACATTCACATACAGCTAAGTGCAAGTCATTGCTCTACAGTGCAAAGACTGAAGCTAGGAAGGCATAATTTTTCGTATGCACTTGCGGAGGTGTTCCTAATCAATTAAAGAAAGCAAGGTCATTGCGAAGCGTTTGTAATGCAACGTTGTATTAATATTAATAAGCCTGACGCAACCGATGATTATGAATACTAGTTATAGTTATCTGATAGTTTTTACAATGATTGACTTTATTGTTTAAAGTGAAAATGCACCAATACAAACTACATCCTTGACTTTTGTTTAGAAATGCGAAAAAATTACGTGTTATTTTTGTATAGTTGTTCATACAACTGAACCTCTGTTGCAATCATTAATAATTATTATATTAAATATCTAGCAACATTTAGGTCTCAAACCTAGGAAGGGTTGCGAGCCCTAAGGTTGAGCCATACGTTGGTAGCAACTTACCCGAGTCAATTTATTAGGTGCTGGCTGCAAATGCGAAGTGTTTCTGGTACCAACTGACAATTCCGGATTGAGGGCAAGGATCGAGTCAATCTCCACTTCCTTGCCTTTGGTTTCGCCTTTCTCGTACCATTCCACTGTCACCGACCTCCCCTCCAAGTTAAGCCCGGTGACGATCGCGGAGTGAATGCGGCCTGGAATCAAAAAACACCCGTATATTAGATTTAATATGAAATGAAGATTTTAGGTGAAATTAGTTTTTATAGTATACTACTACCTACTAACTAATGTTTCAAACTTCTATGGCAATGTAGCGGTTAGATTTGAATCATTTCAGGTTTTATATTGCTGCGTTAGCTGTAGTATAGTCTCTATTAAACGCTATTTTCAACTACGAAATTGCGCTCTGAAATTCGTTTTAGAATACGTCAACTATTTACACAAATGGTAATCTGGCTTATATTACAAGAAACATTAAAACAAATGAAAGTCGATATTTTATTGTTATGAATAAAGTTTAAATACATACGCTATCTGAACTTAGTACTAGCAATAAATACCACAAATACCTAGAATTTTATGTCTGTACAGGGGAAACGGCTAGACACATTAAACAAACGTGCCCGGGATAATGCAGACTCAATAATTGCAGACTATAGAAACGTTGGTTTCAAGCAAAATGCGCAAATTCAAAAGATGAGTAAAAAGTCTTAATTACTTAGTACATCATTTTTTGGTATTCCTTGTATTAAAGTATTATAACAATAAGTTTCAAAAAAACTTTTTTTAATTTGTTCAAACATTTTACACTGACATATATAAATTTTACTCGCATAGAGATTCTCTAAATTAGAGAGATACAGAGGCAGAGATAATGGCGGTTACAGTAATTCCCGCTTCAATATAGTATATACCTTAAATCTCACGATGGTTAAAACAAATGATATAGCGTTTATGCTAATTATAATTTTTATTATCTGTGGCGCATGTTAAGTTATAGGGACAAGGTCAGCGACCTCCGACAACCTGCAGACGTTATAGCTTAGGTAAACTCCTACAAAGGGATCTATTACGTGATGTAAACAGTTGTAAAACAGAATCCCCACGTCTAAATAAAACACGAGCTCGGCTTATTGAGATGTTAAGATTCGAATGAATTTGGAAATATTTGTTTTACATAGAAAATTATATTATGTATGGGAGGGCGGACGGGCGAGGCTACCCTATGTATTAAGAGCCTATATAAAGACACTGGCTGATGCAAGCCAGATCCATCAAAAAAAATTCGAATGAATTTGTAAATCATATACAATATAGAACTTCAAAAATCTATTAGATAAACAATCATTAAACTATGATTACAAGTTCACACAAACGACAACAGGGTTGAGAATACATGTTTAAGCACTAGGCGAATATTGCCCCAAATTATGGCAAATTATGGAATGGTGAAAACGCATCACATGAAAATCCACTGGATTATCGAATAAATATCACCATGGTTACGCTCCATGACCTAACGATAGTGGAACGAACTTTTCGCAAAAACTAATAGTAATGTGCACTTTTTATTTACCAGATAAAACAGCAATAAATCTAATGTTATGTGTTGCAATGGATCATAAAATCTTCAATGTTCTTGACCTATATTAGCAAACAGACTTAACCATATTATATCATATATATATGAATCAGAAAGCAGAATCTATAAAGAAATAGATTCCGCTCACTTCAAAAAAAATTTTCTATTTTCACGAATAAAACTAAAAGTTTATTTTGCAATTATTTATTACATCAAATAAATTGACATTAAGGAAAAAAACAACCTTTGTTAATTAACGTATTTTTATATTGAGTAGTTAAGAGTCTTTATTCATATAAATTATATTACTTGTTTGGAAGAAATTGCAATAAGACCCCGCCTATTTACATCCTTACCTACGACCCTATTAATACGTCAAACCTTGACACGACTTCAATTAAAGAAATTAAACTCCGTATTTTTGTAGTTCCATTTGCTTTCACCAGCAAAATAACATTCTAATTGGAAACTGCGGTTCAGCTATTATTCACACCTAGTTCCTACAGACGTCAAAAGCTTATGCTTACGCTATAAATAAATTGCAGCTTCTAAATAAAGAGCTATAGCGAGACAAGCGAGATTTTAATTGGGCATTATTTGTTTTTCGCAGAGCAGTGTTGGCCTAGTAGCTTCAGCGTGCGACTCTCATCTGCGAGGCCGAAAGCTCGAGCTCCGGCTGTGCACCGATAGATTTCCTATGCACGCGTTTTACACTGGCTCATACGGCGATGGTAAACATCGAGAGAAAACCGGCATGCCTTAGACCCAAAAATACAACGGCGTGTGTGGCACACAGGGTTGATTTCGACCTATTAGAAAAAAACAAATGATCACAAAACAGATACAGAAACCTGGATGCTGAGACCTGAAAGGTTGTAGCGCTAATGTCTTTTTTTTTAATTCCGATTCTTTACATTCAAAATACTACATAAATGTATTTTAAGGCTGGTGTGGTCTAAACTGTAATAAAATGCCCGTAAATAAAATTGTATGGCAATGATGTTAGCACACCTATATTCAATCGGCGCCAGCGACTTTCGTCCGCAGTTGTGCATATATTTTTGTCTAAGTATACAGAATCTAATTAAATCCTGTCCAAACTCAAAATGGGCTACAACTAACTCACGCTAAAAACCGAAATAACGCAACTTTTGTCTAGCTTAGGATACCTTAATTATGCATTAAAATTAAAACAAATGAAGCTAGAAGACAAATATTATACACAAACTCAAAGAAAGCTTGTCAAAAGTGGGAACAAAAGGAGCATAGACTCAAAATTAAACAGTCGAAGTAAACAAATACACCAATAAAACCTGATCCGTTACAATCGGCACTTTCCAAAGCACGTATCGTATTACAGGAGGCCAAAGTACGCTGGTCGTCTGTTACAATTTCATACGGTGTCATTGACCCCTTAACGCATCTCCGCGCTAATTATATCGTGCTTGGCAATGCGGTGACAAATTTCCGCATATCCCCAACGCACGGTTTTCTATTATATTTTTTCGCAATTCTAACAAATATATTATCCACATCTGACCTAAGACTAGAGACCGACTGACAAGATTAAAAAAAATATTGGTTAAAAAACAAATACAATTTGTAAAATAATTGTTAATCTAGAATAATAAAACTAAATCTAAACGAACAAAACTAAATCTAATCGAATAACAGGGTTTAATTAACAGCACTCCAAATTAATAAACCTTAAACATCTTTACTTAGAAGTTTAACGCACGGTTACTCGTTTAAATTTCGAACTAACGCAGGTGAAATCGCAGAACACAAATCGTGAAAAAATCATTCTCTCATAATATTTTTAAATGCCAAAATCATTACAGATTCGTGCTGTGCAGTTTAATTAGTCGAAAGTCAATAGGAGTGCGTCTAGTAGTAAAATATAATAGCTGGTGAAATCCTACAAAGTTTATAATTACTGCAATATTAAACACACAATATTCTACAACTCCGTTTCAAAGGCTCTAACACCAGTTAGGTTTTTTTCCTTAATAAAATAACGTAATCGATTGACAACTCTGTACTAAACACCTTAAATATAATACGTTGAATGTTCTATGCTGATAGTAATAGTATTGTAAATGGAAGCTAGTTGAATGTATCGAGTCCGTCATGTAGAAAAAGCAATTCCCACGGTCAAGTTCACAAGAGGAATATAAAGAATCAACTATACAAACTGTAGGAAGTGACTTTATGATTACAGAGAAACTTTAACGCAGGAAATATCTCATATTGTTATATTGTAGGATTAAAACCCAACAAGTTTACTACCTGTTCTATCAACCTACAGCGCATCTACTTATTTTTACAATCATATTAACATAGTCACTTGGCTATGTTTAGAAGTTTAAAAAACAATAAAATGATAGTTTAAAAAGCACTTATGTTAAACTATCCAACTCCTATAATTTTCATAACATTTAAAAAACTTCAATCTCGTTAAGATAATATTTATATAATACTAGCAAACTCGGCGAACTCCGTTTCGCCACCAGATGGCTTCGTTTTATGTAACATTTCGTTTGGTGATCCCGCTTTTCTGTTGAATTTTTCCTGAATTTTCTTTGCTATAAACCTCACGGAGCCCGAGACCTTTCCAACGAATGCAAAACCGTGGAAATCGGTTCGTGCGTTCTGGAGTCAGGAAGGAAAACCCGACTTATTTTTATATAGTAGATTATATATAAGAATTGTATAATTTAGTTTTCTGGGCTCAAAATGTGTATTTGGAATGGTTTATCGTAATTTTAAATTAATAAAAATTAATATTTATTCATTTATTCGACGGCTATCCATTAAATTATTAAGTTATTATAAATATCAAACAAAATGCAAGAATATCTATAAAAGTTTTTGGTTGAACTAATCGCTGTATTTGTATACGGAAGTATTATAAAATTTCCTAGGTCACTCAAGATCAAACTCGTGATAAGGGCCTCGTCATTAAAGGGCTTTCTCACTCAGATCAATTAATATAGGATGAAAAACCATACCAATTATAAATACAATATGTCTAAAATGCTATTGGTTATTGCTGAATAGAGACTAATATTTTTGCGCTCACGGATATATTACATTAAAATATATATAAATACATCAGATTATAGTGCGCTTGCGACGTGTTGTGGTGAGTCACCACACACTCGTGTACCGGTTAAAACCAGCTAGACACAGACACGATATACATCAGGCTTGTGGAGAAAGGACAGCAATGTTGACCTCTTGAAGTCGACACATGAGAACCTACATTAAAACCCATTTCTTTAGGTTACGAACAAAAAACTCGAATTTGAGTATTGATTAAACTACATTGCGATATTTTTTAATTCAGTGATAATTTACGAATAGTTTAAATAACAATATGTAGAGTTCGGTACCTATATTATATGAAACAATGCATGTTGCAACTTATGCATTTTATAATATTTGTGTAGATAATATACTTTATCACTCTTATCTCTCAATCAGTATATGTAATAACGCTTAAAAGTAAGAAAATATAATTCAAATGCAAAATTTTTAAGTCAATTTAATTTTTAATAAATATTAAATAATATATTATTCATATATTATTTGGAGACGAAGGGAGAATTTGATAAATTTTTATATGCATTAAAATTGCCTTGTCTATACTATTTATTGTATTATATCTAATCCTCACAAACTAGTATCTAATAGTATTCAAGTAAGGCCTCCGTAGGGAGGCTGGTGACATCACAAGTCGGAAACACTTGCTCGCCCACATCCACCCACTATAGAACCTTGCAAAACCCTCCAAGAGAGAAACTATAGACGTATGAGCAATTTAGGCTTCTTAGCAAATATTACTGTATATTATACTTGTGTATAAGTGGTCATGAAGGGATAACTTATACACAAGTGATAAAGGGACAAATTATACTTTTTTTTTAATAGAACAGGGGGCAAACGGGCAGGAGGCTCACCTGATGTTAAGTGATACCGCCGCCCATGGACACTCTATATAGGATACTCTAGATATAGGAAATGGCACCAAAATCTTGCATAATGTCTACTGTCTGGGTTGAAGTTACCCAGACATGGCAAATTCAACTCATTATTGATACCTTTATTAAGACAAGTCTGGCTTGGTGAGCTAACATGATAATTGACGTAACAAATTGCTGAACAATTGAAGTAAACGATCTTTAAATGTGATGACTGTATAGCTACATCATCGACTAACAACGTGTTATTTTCAATTTATACTAAATTATATGAAAACGTCTTTGCAAAACAATTTATGCCGAGTAATGACGGGTTGAATACCACCATGTTATGATAACAAAAAAACGCATCAGTATATTTTGACCACTTTGACCTTTATTTAATTTCGCAATTTTTTAATTAATATAGGGGTTAATCAGTGATGAGTGAAGAAATGTATTGAAATTATATTACTTTTTGATCAAAGTTAAACTAGGTTTTCAGTCGTCGTGAAATAATATCGAAAGTAAAACGGAACCAACATTAGGGCACATGATCTAGATACACTCCATTAAACGTGTTCGACCTCATTCTGCTCTATTATCTATTGATTATATCGTGAAAAGTATCCATTGGCGCTACTTTCTACTGCGGCGGCCACCTTTGTTAGACAATTTTTACCCTCTTGGGAAATTGTAACTGTCTTTATAGTTTTAACCGTTCAATATAATACAGTGAAACGATTTTCTTGAATTATTTTGACTTAAGCGGGCTATAGACGGACTGCATGTTGCAGTCAAGACCGACTGCAATATGCGGTCGCCGCACGGCGATCTGCAGTTTCCATACTAAATTCATATTCGCAATACACGGACCGCTCGAGCAGTTCCTGAGCAAACCGCATATTGCAGTCGGTCTTGACTGCAACATGCGGTCCGTCTATGGCCCGCTTTAGAAGGCAACGAACTTGCTTGAAAAGCTATGATGAATGAAACAGAACAATGTTTCGTCTATGATCTACTGGAAAAAGCTTGAGGTGGGAATGCTAAAACTTTAATGCAAAAATATAAATTTCAATTAAAGACATATTACCTTTTAAGTAAAATATACCAATCCATTATTAAAAAATAATTAATTTTATTGAAAAAAATATATATTTATTAGCATGGTACCTATAGTTTTAAAATTATATGTAAAACACATACACACATGGTTACTGCCCGTGTTACAAGGCCAATTTCTATCAATAAACATGTACAAAGGACTGTCCCCTTGTTTGTATTTGTTTTATTAATTATTTTAAAATATTATGTATGAAAAAATGTATATACTATCCGTCATATATAATACTCCTACTCAATGATGATATCATAAATGAAATCGAAAGTCTTTAAGCATTGCAAAATCTACTCTAAAAGGCCAAGTCTGCAAAATCTGTTATAATGAATTTAATTAGACTTTCCGAGCCTAAATAGTAACTGACCAGAACAGAACATCTTGCTACACATCCTTTAGATAATAGCGTTGGCCTCTGTAATTAGTCTAATTAAATTCAAAACGAAATAATACACACCTCCAAAAGCGCTTCATGATACACTAAGGATAAGATCCAGAAATGAAACTTTGCGCTAAGTTCGACTCTTGTACGTCAAAAATTATTGGATTTTAACATAAGGAAGTCACAGTTCGCGATGAGTAACGTTTCTAAAACTCACCCTAATATCAAGGCTTTTTGTTTTAAAATTGGGTCGCGCTTATCTTGTCGCGAAATTCAAATTTTCTATCGTAAACGATTAAACAAAAACATTACTGTGTAAAGATTTTTTCAACAGATAAACATTCCTTATAAATGGACAGATGAAACAGACTCAATAAGATCTGTTGGTTAGTTAAAAAGTAATAAATGTTGACGACTCCTGTAAGTCAAAAATTATTGGATTTTGACATAAGGAAGTCACAGTTCGCGATGAGTAACGTTTCTAAAACTCACCCTAATATCAAGGCTTTTTGTTTTAAAATTGAGTCGCGCTTATCTTGTCGCGAAATTCAAATTTTCTATCGTAAACGATTAAACAAAAAAATTACTGTGTAAAGATTTGTTCAACAGATAAACATTTCTTATAAATGGACAGATGAGACAGACTCAATAAGATCTGTTGGTTAGTTAAAAAGTAATAAACGTTGACGACTGGAAGATGGAAGACGGCTGGAAATTTTAGTCTAACACTACAGTCTACAGTTACAATACATATATATATTTGAGTAAATATGGAGGAAACTTGTCGGTTATAAAATGGATAATGTAAATTAGAAAATCTGAAAATCTGTAATTCGCCAGACTAGGTCAATATGTTTCATCATACTGTTTTAACAAGTTACGGCATTTAAATACATTTATAGCAAGTTGCGTGACTAAGAACGTGACACAGTCCGAAATGAGTGAA